TTGGTTCACCCCCCAAATGGCCACTGTGGCTGGCGCGTTGTGCCGATCCAAAGCCAGGAGCCAGGTGCTTCCTCCTGGTCTCCCATGAGGGTACAGGGGCCCAAGCACTTGGGCCATCCTCCACTGCCTTCCCGGGCCACAGCAGAGAGCTGGCCTGGAAGAGGAGCAACCGGGACAGAATCCGGCGCCCCAACCAGGACTAGAACCCTGGGGTGCCGGCGCTGCAGGCAGAGAATTAGCCTAGTGAGCCGCGGCGCCGGCCTGGAAAACTTTTAAGTTATTTCTTTGCTCTCCATTTTCAGTTTCCTTTCAGAAACTTATTTTTCACATGCTAGACTTACTGGCTTTATGCTCTAATACTGTCTCTTTAGTTTCAACTTACTGTAATTTTGCTTTACGTTTGAAGACACCTCCCCAATTTAATTTTTTGGTTTACTTGTATTTATTCATTTAAGAGAGAGAGAGAGTCTGCCTTTTTCCTCCTCTCTCTCTCTCTCTCTCTCTCTCCCTCCTTCCTGATCTCCATCTGCTGATTTATTTTCCAAGTGCCTAGAAGGGCTATAGCTAGGATAAGCTCAAGCCAGAAGCTGCAAACTGAATCCAGGTCTCCCTTGAGTGGCCAGAACTCAACTATTTGAGCCATCACCTGCTGCTTCTTAGGATATGCACTAGCAGGAAGCAGAGCTGGGATCTGAATCCAGGCGCCTTGACTGGGATGCAGCTTTCCCAACTTCATGCCAAATACTTGCCTTGAGAGACCTCTAACTTTGTTTTCCGGCATTCAGAAATGATGGCCATGGTAGGATTTTGCCTCAGGCCTAGCAGACTCTGGTTTGTTTCTTTTTAGATTTATTTTATTTGAAAGGAAGAATTAGAGAGAGAGATTGATTGATTGATTTCCATTCACTGGTTCACTTCCCAAACGACCACAATGGTCAACCCTGGGCCAGACTGACACCAGGAGCCAGGAATTTCATCTGGGTCTCCCACGTGGGTGCAAGGGCCCAAGCACTTGGGCCATCTTCTGCAGCTTTCCTAGGTGCATTAGCAGGGAGCTGGATTGGAAATGGGACAGCAAGGGCTCAAGTTGGTGCCTATATGGGATGCTGGTGCTGCAAGCCATGGCCTAAGCAGCTGTGCCACAGTGCTGATCAACCTGTGGTTTCTTCTTTTTCTTCTTTTTTATTTTTAAAGATTTATTTATTTATTTGAAAGGCAGAGTTGCAGAGAGAGAGAGAGAGTGAGAGAGAGAGAGAAAGGTCTTCCATCCACTGGTTCACTCCCAAGATGGCTGCAACGGCTAGAGCTGCGCTAATCTGCTGCACCACAGTGCTGGCCTGGACCCTGTGGTTTCTAAAATGACTGAGACTGGAGTTCTAGGACATCTTCCCTTCCTGTACTTTTCTTTTCACTTCTTTCTCCACTCCTGTTGTTTTCCTTATAGACAGTCTTAGGGCCATAAACATTTCTGCTATAGGCTGGCTAAACTGGAAGACAGAAAAACTAGCTATCTTGCCATTTTTGCTAATTATGTTTCTGATATGTAATAGTTTCTGGAAAGGGAGGGAAGAGAAAAGATTTAACTGCTTACTGAAGTCATATTTCTTAAAATCATGTGGCTTTGCCCTCTCCATGTAAGTTACCATGAGTAATGAGGAGCTAGCCCTTTGTATTAGGACATGTAAGTAGCAGCTTACAGGTGGAGGACTGGAGTAGGCAATGTACAGTCTGTTCCAGAATGTAATAATGAAAGCAGCTGATGGTTCTCTCTACAGTTTGGAAAAAGCTTTTATGTACATGATAACGTTAATCTGCATTCATTCTCCAACATATTCTGAAGATATTTTCATCAGCTGGCCCAGTCATAAGCACTGGCATGTCAATGGCTTCTATGTATTGGAATAGTCACACTCTGCATAATGACATTTTGGTTAGCCACATTCCACACTTACAAAGGTATGTGCCATGTAACCCAGTTGTGTAATAGTCCATACTATCTAGGATGTTATAAGTACATTCTGTGCTGGTCACAAAACAATGAAATTGACTAATGACACATTTCTCAGATCAGATTCCTATTAGAAACAGATCTGTACTGGCTACATGCCAGTAGACACCACTTTAACTACTTTTGTGGGTGTTAATTGCATTATCTCATTTAGTCTGCTGTATTATCTCCTCCTGGAGATAATCAAACCCACATTATAGGAGGTGTCAATCTCATTTGATAGGTGAAGTAACTGAGAACCCAAGAGAATGGTTATCATCATTTCCTAGACTTGAGGATAGAATTTTAGGGCTTTTAATTTTATGCTTATAAAAGACTTGTGCTTTTCAGTTCCAAGTTTGGTGCTGACTTAATGCTTTGAGTATAACACACATTTATACACACACACAAACACAGTAAAGCAGTTGAGAAAGTGTGACCTTAAGCCAAGTGACCTTATGTCAGAGTGTTCTGCCTTGTCATTGTTCTGTGATATGATAGACAAACTGCTTAGCTTGCCTGTGCTTCAGGTTTGTCATGTAAAATGGGGATAGCCCACTTGCCTTGTCAGGTTTCCTGAGGATTAAATGAAATAGTGCAGATATTCAGTAATGGGAGCTGTTATAGTCATTACTGTGTTGTCTTCATTGTGGTTTAACACTGACCTTTCTTATTCTCTGTAGGTGTGATAATATTGAAGAAATCACTTAATCCCATTTAGAGATGAAGACTCTTGTAACAGCTCTCTTTTGTGATGTAGTGGTAGATAAATGTTGTTCTACCAGTTTGCTGTAACTGAGTAGGGAAGAACTGAACTTTATGACTCTTTGGAGGGGTTTGCACTGTTTGGTAGCAAGGATAAACTCAATTTCCCACCTTAAAAAGCTTTCTATAGCAGTCATAACAGATTATTACAAACTTGGTGAGTTAAAACAGATGTGTTATCCTACAGTTTGGAAGGTCAGAAGTCTGACCCAGGGCTTGGGACTAAATCAGGTGTTGGCAGTTGTGTGTTCCCTGTGGATCTAGGAGAGAACCCGTACCCTTCTCTTCATTCTCTGGCTTGTGCCCTCCTTTTCCCATCTTCAGGCACGTGATGTAACAGCACTCTCCCTGATGCTCGGTGCTTACAACTCTCTCCTCAGACTCCCTCCTCTACCTTGCAGGGACTGTGTGATTACACTGGGCCCGTAGGGATGAACTGGGGTAATCTTCTGTCTGAAGATCAGTCTAGTAAGCTATCCTGTTCACAGGTTCCTGTTGGCAGATAGTGACATCTTTTCTGCCTGCCACACTTAGCTTAGTTTTAGTTTAAACCTAAAAACTGGAAAGTCTTACTGCTGTTGGTACCTTTCCATACAATTGAAATCTATTCAGATTGTAGATTGTAGTTTGAAGGAGTGAGTGTACTGGGGTTTTCTGGACTTCAGTGTGGCAGGCTGTGAGGTTACAAGGAGAGTGAAGGGTAAGTAGTGAAACTCCTGGCCCAGGACGGAGGAGCTGAAGGTGCAGATGCTGCAGGGCCTTTGGGCAAACCTCAGGGGGAGGAAAGCCTTTTTGTCCTTGGTGTAATGTGGTTTGATGGCTGCACAGTACTAGGTGTTTTCACATTTTTTTCCTTAGCTTTTCTGTTGCCTATGCCTTCTTTGTTGACTGCAGTGGTGCAGTGTTTGTAGGAATTTGTGAATTTTCTTAGTATTTTTAATGATTTATTCGAATATCTTTGAATTCTATGTAGGAAACTATAAAAATCAAAGCATTGGGGCTGGCACTGTGGCTCAGCAAATTAAACTGCCGTCTGCAGCTCTAGCATCCGAAATGGGCACAGGTTCATGTTCCAGCTGCTCCACTTCCGATCCAACTCCCTGCTAATGTGCCTGTGAAAGCAGTGGAGGATGGCTCAAGTGCCTGGGTTCCTGCACCCACGTGGGAGACTTGGATAAAGCGCCTGGCTCCTTGCTTCATCTTGGCTTAGCCCTGGTCATTGCAGCCATTTGGTGAATGAACTAGCAGATGGAAGCTTGCTCTCTCTGTTTCTCCCTCTTTCTGTAACTCTGGCTTTCAAATAAATAAAAGAATCTCTAAAAACAAAAACAAAACATAAATGAAATCATTGTCCAGTTAAATTATTTTCTGATTTATTACTAGAATTCATTCCTCCAATTTGTTACTTATTACTGGTGTCTACAATATGTAACATGAACATATCTTTGTGAGTGAAAAGTCTGAATTTTTTTATTTTATCCACTTTTTTCCCTAACCACTTTTTTTTTGTTATTTTTCTTTTTTAATTGAGAGATTGAGAGTCAGAAGGAGAATGAGAATGCCAGGAGCTGGGGACACAATCCAGATTTCTCAAGTGGGCGTTAACTTGAGCATCATTGCTGCCTCCTAGGGTCTGCATTGGTGAGGAGCCGGAGCTGGGATTTGAAACCAGGCACTAGGATGTGGTGTAAGGGCATCTTAACTACCAGGCTAAATGCCTGCTCCTCATCCATTCTGACCTGTCAGTTAACTAAGTTACTGAGACTCAGTGATGTGCCAAGCCTGGATTGGCTCTGGGCAGCAGTGGTAAACTCTGTTACAGTCCCTTACCTCAGAGCCTATGTCCACCGTAGTGAATATGGCACCTGCTCAAGATGGGTATTCTGTGTGTGTGCAACTGACTGGGAATCTCTTTCCTATAAATAATGGAAGAATCTGCAAATGTCTCCTTGTTATTTTTTTCATGTGTGTGATTGACTAATTGATTAATGGTTATTTTAAAATACTTCAGATTAGTTTGGTGACATAAAATTGAAATATAACTGCTATTTAACATAGTCTAATGTTTCTTGCTTATTTGAAGTGAATTTTAGACTGCTTTTTGAAGTGAAATTTCGAGTAGGTGTTATTTCTGAATATTTTTCAGATATTTAGTTTGGTGAGATGACTATTTCTAGTATCTTTTATTCCTTAAAAATGTTTTGAATTAAGAAAGGCCTGGTATTAATTTCCTTGTTTGATCTTTTAGGAATGTTTTAAAGGAAGTTGGGCTACTCACAAGTTACTACATAAGAAAGCAAGTAAGTAAAATCATGTATCCTTACACTGTTTGTCTTATATGTGGCTTTTGTTCCAGAAGACAGTTCTGTTGTTTCTAAAAGTATATATAAGACAAGACTGTTCTGAAAGTATAATCCTGAAAACTAGAATAATGACCTTTTTTTAAGTAGGTAATTATGAATATAAAATATGGCTGCGCGATATCTTTGTTCATCTTTGTTCACATATTTAACATGAAAACAGGAGATAGTTGCTAGGATAGATGGATCTTGCTTTGCTTGAACAACATTTAATACATACCTGAACTTTTGGCATTCTCTTTCCTAGAAGTGTTTGCACTTTGCAGGCAGGGAACACGTGAACTTTTCACTTGGCTTCACTTTTTGTATGTCTAGTTTCAATTCACATTGCCTTTTCTACTCAAAATTACATTACAGCCAGCCTTCCACATTTGTGCATTCTTCATCTATGTATTGAAAATATTCAGAAAGCAAGTGTCTTCACTGACCATTTTTTTTTTAAAGATTTATTTATTCATTTGAAAGGCAGAGTTAGAGAGAGAGGAGAGGCACAGAGAAAGAGAGAGAGGGAAAGATCTTCCATCCGCTGGTTCATATTCCAAATGGCCGCAACTGCTGGGGCTAATCCAGGGTGAAGCCAGGAGCTGGGAGCTTCTTGAGTCTCCCTTGTGGTGGCAGGGGTCCAAGGATTTGGGCCATCTTCAGGTGCTTTCCCAGGCCATCAGCAAGGAGCTGGATCAGAAGTGGAGCAGCCAGGACGCCAGCTGGCACCCATATGGGATACCAGCACCACAGATGGCAGCTCATCTCTGCGCCCACAGAACTGGCCTCCTGCCCTGAACATTTTATGCAAGGATCTTGGACTTGAGTGTCTAAGGATTTGGTCCACAGTGGGAAGGGGAAGTGCTGGAACCAGTCCCCTACAGATACCAAGGAATGACTGTATTTTTTTTCTGGGGATGACTGTATTTTTTTTTCTGGTGTTTTAATGTTACCCATAGTCTAATGTTTAGTTACTACACGTGATTCTACAAAGTGAACCTGTTGGTTGCAGCTTAACTACTGCAGTCTGCCCTACTCATGCAGCTGTGATGTAAATGGCTTTTCTACTTTTTTTTTTTTTTTTTTTTTTGACAGGCAGAGTGGACAGTGAGAGAGAGAGACACAGAGAGAAAGGTCTTCCTTTGCCATTGGTTCGTTCACCCTCCAATGGCCGCCGTGGCCGGCGCACCTCACCTATCCGAAGGCAGGAGCCAGGTGCTTATCCTGGTCTCCCATGGGGTGCAGGGCCCAAGCACTTGGGCCATCCTCCACTACACTCCCGGGCCACAGCAGAGAGCTGGCCTGGAAGAGGGGCAACCGGGACAGCATCCGGCGCCCCGACCGGGACTAGAACCCGATGTGCTGGCGCCGCAAGGCAGAGGATTAGCCTAGTGAGCCGCGGCGCCAGCCCGGTTTTTCTACTTCTTATGGCTGGCTTAAGATAGCCCGTTATAAGTCCCTGGAAATTGATAAAGGCATTCCTGTTGGATGAAGGCATGGCAGACAGCACCTGATTCTAGGTTTTTGTTTCAGCTTACTGAAATTGATGCTGGTATCTTTGACTCATCTATTTGTGTATTTTTTAGGAGTTGGATGATTTAATGAAATTTGGTAAATTGTTTTATCAAAGCACATCTAATTGAGGTCATTTAAATTATTATTTGAAGGACATGGAAATAAAAATTTTAAAAAGATACCCAAGTACTTTCTGTGCTTGTATAAAGTGACTTCTGTGTTCAGTGGAAATGTATGGTATGTGGGAGGAAATGTGGCTAAACAGGAGGAAAATGATGTGTATAAGTGAAGTTTATCAAGTACAAAAGGATTTGTTGATTTTGATTTGTTACCTCAAAATATAGAGAAGTTTAAATGTCATTTAAGCATACATGTATACATTACATGTCCCATTTTTAATGTGTTAGATACATTGTAGAGATTTTTGAACCTGTTATTAACATTTTATACTCAGGAAATGAAAGCATGGGAAAGAACAAAGGGTCAAGCCTAAGTAATAAGAGAGCTTAGGATATGTTTCTGCCCCAAGGATTGGTAATTCACTGAAGTGTGCCCGTATCTTCAGTACTGGATTTCTAAGGACAGAGGTACTGCAGTTTGACCTATACTAAATAGCAGGTGTACCCTGTGGAAAATGAACATAAGGCCTGGACTTGGCTGTTTGGATTTCACTTCTACCTCTGTTGTTTAGTGCAGTGCCGTCTTTTAGGTGATGCCTTATTGGGTTTGTGGGGATGGTTTTTTGACTGGGTAAGCTTGGTGTTCTTTATCCGTTTGGGATATATTGGATGCAGATAACCCTTAGCTGACTAGCCCTGTACCTTTTACAACCTGATAAATTGACCCCTAGTACACCATTGTGGGTGACAGCCTTAGAGGAGGGAATGGTGTAGAGAATGGCAGGCTTCAAAGCAAGAAGAGTTACCAGGAAACACATTAGGAAAAAAGAATGTTAAGTATCTAGGGTATCTTAAAAGATGGTACTTTATTCTAAGAAACATTGATGAGGTAACAGGACAAGTAGTTCTCCTGAAAGTGGTATATTCTCTTAATTTTTTTAAAGTGTAGTGTATACTGATCCCTGATTAAGGATGACTGTTTTTTAATTAATGTTCATGTGGCATATTGATCTATAATTGCTTTTTTTAAAAAAGATTTATTTATTTGAAAGAGCCAGGGTAGGAGGAGTGAGTAGGAGACAGAGAGATCTCCCATCTGCTGGTTCAGCCCCCAGATGGCTGCAACAGCTGGGGCTGGGCCAGGGCTAAGCCAAGAGCAAGGAGCTTCTTCAGGTCTCCCACATGGCGTGCATGTGCCCAAGTACTTAGGCCATTCGCTGTTGCTTTCCCAGGCACATTAGTAGGGAGTTGGATCAAAAGTATAGCAGCCGGGGACTCCAACCAGCACCCATATGGGATGCCAGCACTGAAGGCGGAGGCTTAACCTTCTATGCCACGGAGCTGGCCCCTAGAGTGTCTTTATGTATCACAGTAAAGACCAGATTGTCAAGCCCTTAATTAAAAGCATGTATGCTGATGCTTGGGTGCACATGTCCCACACTGTATCTCCTGCCAGAATGTGTTCTTAATGTAGCATTCACTTTTAGAATGATCTGTAGAGATTGTAGCACTGCACATCTCAAGATTATTATTTTACATTTTCTAAATGTATCACGATAAATTTTAGTGTTTGTCTCCTGTTTTCCAGAAGTAAAAGGAAGAATATGATAGATACTGTTTGAGAAGCCATAAATATGCTATAAATATCCTATATTTACAAAAAAAATCTCTAAGTAGTACTTTTGCTTCTATTTTGCCCCTGCATACTAGGATGCTTGACTTTTTTGGATTACAGAAAAAGGGTTTTAGAACTGGCTCCATGAAACTTTGTGGCCATGGATTATTCCTTTTTTCTTTATTTTTATTTTTAATTTCTACTTCAAAGGCAGAGAGAACGAGATATACAGAGACAGACAAAGATCCATCTTCCATCTGGTAGTTCACTCCCCAAATGCCTACAACAGCTCGGGCTGGGTCAGGTCAAAGCCAGGAGTTTGGAACTCTGGGGCTACTATGTGGGTGGCAGGGTCCCAGACACTTAGATTCCAGGTGGGATTTTTTTTTTTTCCTTAATTTTTTTTAAAAAAGAATTATTTATCCATCTATCTATCTATTTATTTGAAAGAATTAGAGAGAGATCTTTCTATCCATGGTTTCATTCCCCAAATGACCTCAGTGGCTAGGGCTTGGCCAGTCTGAAACCAGGAGCTTCATCTGGGTCTCCCACATAGGTACATGTGCCCAAACACATGGGCAATATTCTGCTGCTTTCCTAAGTACATTAGCAGGGAGCTGGATTGGAAGTGAAGCAGTCAGGAAGTGAGGCAGTTGGGACTAGAACCAGTGCCCATATGGGATGCTGGCATCTCAGGCCATGAGCAGCCTTGTCTGGTATGCCACAGTGCCAGCCCCCCAAGTGGGACTTAACTGCTGTACCACACACCTGCCCTGGATTACTTACAGTGTACGTTGTGTAGATTAAATAAGCAAATCCATGTAAAATACGTGTATAGTGCATGGTAAGTGCTCAACAACTGCTTCATTATCATCTCTGAAAGAATTTTGATCACAAAGTCCTGTCCCAGGGGCCGGCGTTGTGGTGTAGCAGGTAAAGCTGCTGCCTGTAGTGCTGGCATCCCAGATGGGTGCCGGTTTGAGTCTTGACTGCTCCACTTCTCATCCTGCTCTCTGCTATGGCCTGGAAAAGCAGTGGAAGATGGCTCAAGTGTTTGGGCCTTTGCACCTGCGTGGGAGACCTGAAAGAAGCTCCTGGCTCCTGGCTTTGGATTGACGCAGCTCCGGCTGTTGCAGCCATTTGGGGAATGAACCAGCAGACAAAAGACTTCTCTCTCTGTCTGTCTGTCTGTCTGTCTCTCTCTCTCTCCCTCTGCCCCTCTGCCCCTCTGCCTCTCTATAACTTGGCCTTTCAACTAAATAAATCTTAAAAAAAAAAAAAAAAAAATCCTGTCCTGGGCAAAGCTGAGACATGTGCAGTTATTTTGTATCAGCTGAAGAGGCAGCCTACATATGGCCGGCGCTGTGGCTCACTAGGCTAATCCTCTGCCTGCGGCGCTGGCACCCTGGGTTCTAGTCCCAGTTGGGGCTCCGGATTCTGTTCCGGTTGTCCCTCTTCCAGGCCAGCTCTCTGCTGTGGCCCGGGAAGGCAGTGGAGGATGGCCCAAGTGCTTGGGCCCCTGTACCCTCATGGGAGACCAGGAGGAAGCACCTGGCTCCTGGCTTTGGATTGGCTCAGCATGCCGGCTGTAGTGGTCATTTGGGGGGTAAACCAACGGAAGGAAGACCTTTCTCTGTCTCTCTCACTGTCTAATTCTGCCCGTCAAAAAAAAAAAAAAAAAAAACTACATAGAACCTTAAACAATAAAGCCTGGATATTTAGTGCACTTTGGACAAGACCTTGCATGTATCAGGTACTACCTGTATTTTACCTGGACCTATTACATTGTGATGGTTGAAAGACAGCTTACTAGTGTTTATTTACTATGTCCTATATGTTCATAATAATTTTAAAAAAAGACCAGTTGTTAGACAATTTGCCACCAATCCCTGTTCAGCTCAGGTTATGTATCGGTTATATGTCCAGCATTTACGACTCAGATCAGATCGAGCCTAAACATGTAAAATAACTTCCTTTTCTAGTGTATGTTTTTATAAATAAATTATATCTTGAATTCAGTAAAGAACTTGTCTAGGTAACTTATTTTTTCGAGATCTGCTTTCAGTTCTCTTGAAAATAGATTGTGGAAGGATAGGAATGCAGATCAGCAGGAAGCTTTGAACGCTTTTACATCCTGGCCTTCTCCCTGTTCACTCTCCGGGAGCGTACTAAAGCAGAAATCCTGTGTCTTGATTGCTCTTCTGTTCTAGGTTCCATGGGAAAGTTGTTCTTGAGGTTCATGTTTCGGACAAAATCACTTGATTCAATTACTAGCTGAAGCAAATCTCAGCTTCTTAGTATATTGAATTATTTTTTATAATGCTTGACTCTGGGTGGCATTGAATGGAGTCCATTTTTGTGCTGGGGTGAGAAATAGTTTTCTTGTTGACGTTAACATTTACAGTGTTTTCTTGACCTCTAGAGCAGAGAAGATATTTAAAATTTAGTAGCATTGCAGAAACTTCTTTTTTATCCCTTTATTTTATATATAATAGTGCAAATGTATTCTCTTCCAAAGAGATGTGAATCGATTGGCCGTATGTTTGCATTCTTGTCCATTGTTTCACGAGGTGCTTTGACCCTGTAGTTGACCACATGGTCTGCAGAGAGAGTATTGCATTGGAGCTGGCAATTTTTTTTTTTTTTTTAAGATTTGTTTGTTTACTTGAAAGGCGGAGTTACAGAGAGAGATCTTCCATCTGCTGGTTCACTCCCCAAATGGCTGCAGCGGCCAGAGGCGGGCCCATTCAAAACCAGGAGCTAGGAGCTTGGAGCTACTTCCACCCATGTCTCCCACGTGAATGTGGAGGCCCTAGCACTTGGATTATATGTTGCTTTCCCAAGCGTATTACAAAGGAGCTGGATTGAAAGTGGAGCAAGGACCACCGCTGTGGCATAGCAAGTAAACCTGCCACCTGTAGTGCTGGCATCCCATATGGGCACCAGTTTGAGTTCCCACTACTGCACTTCTGATCCAGCTCTCTGCTGTGGCCTGAGAAAGCAAAAGAAGATGGCCCAACTTGGGCCCCTGCGCCCGCGTGGGAGACCCCAAGAAAGCTCCTGACTCCTGGCTTCAGATCAGTGTAGCTCAGGCTGTTGTGGCCAACTAGGGAGTGAACCAGCAGATGGAAGACCTCTCTCTCTCTCTCTCTCTTTTTTTTTTTGAGATGCTTTTTGATAACTATTTATTTATTTATTTATTTATTTTGACAGGCAGAGTGGACAGTGAGAGAGAGAGACAGAGAGAAAGGTCTTCCTTTGCTGTTGGTTCATCCTCCAATGGCCGCTACTGCCGGCGCGCTGCAGCCGGCGCACCGCGCTGATCTGAAGGCAGGAGCCAGGTGCTTCTCCTGGTCTCCCATGGGGTGCAGGGCCCAAGCACTTGGGCCATCCTCCACTTCCTTCCCGGGCCACAGCAGAGAGCTGGCCTGAAGAGGAGCAACTGGAACAGAATCTGGCGCCCCGACCAGGAGTAGAACCCGGTGTGCCGGCGCCACAGGTGGAGGATTTGCCTAGTGAGCCGTGGCTCCGGCCAGACCTCTCTCTTTCTGCCTCTTTCTCTGTGTAACTATGAATTTCAAATAAATAAGTAAATCTTCAAAAAAAAAAAAAAAACTAACATAGATTTTTTTTCCTTATTGGGGGAAAAAAAAAAAGTGGAGCAGCCAGGACACAAACCAGCGCTAACATGGGATGCCCACATGGGATACCGGCAACCCAGGCCGCCACAGTGCTAGCTCTGGAGTTCTTTTCTTGCTTTTCTTTCTTTCTTTTCTTTTTTTTTTTTAGATTTATTTTATTTATTTGAGTCACAGAGTTACAGAGAGAGGTAGAGACAGAGAGAGAGAGGTCTTCCATCCACTGGTTCACTCCCCAGATGGCCTCCGCAACTGGAGCTGCGCCGATCAGTGCCAGGAGCCAGGAGCTTCTTCTGGGTCTCCCAAATGGATAGAGGGACTCAAGCACTTGGGCCATCTTCTGCTTTCCCAGGTGCATTTTGCAGGGAGCTGGATCGGAAGTGGGACAGCGCCCATATGGGAATGCCAGTGCTGAGGGCCAGGCTTTAACCCAGGGCACTGGCCGCACACCGGGATCTTTTCTTAACTTCTCTACTGTTTTCAGTAACTTTGAACAGATTGCTCCCCTGACCCTCCCCTTTCCCTGTCTGTTTCTATTATCCCTTTTGGAAAAGACGCAAATGATGGTCGTGAAATTTTCAAAGCACTTGAAATACTGACTTGGAGACTACTCATTAAATGGGAAATTATTAGTTTTGGTTTTAGGTTTGTTCTGGGGTTACCTAGTTTGTTTTAATGGGAGCATAGAGTCACTTGTAACATCTCATGTCAGTTTGGAAGGTTTTGCTAGGACTCATAAATCATATTTTAAAAATGACCTTCTTTTAATTAACATTGTAGAGGGAATATGTTTAGCATTTACTTGAGAACAACAGTTTTAAGAGCTGTTCCTATTTGATACAGTGTAAAAACTTAAGAGTTTAGATAGGGCTTTTATTCCAAGACATTTCTGTCTTCTAAAAGGAATTAAAAGAGTAGTGACTATAGTGGTACAGTAGTAGATTTGATGATTAAGGGTGGAAATTTGTTGGGTTTTAAACACATGGTGATTAAAGTATGGTGTCACTCAGTAGCTTAACCATTGAAGCATTCCTGTTTCTTTTTTTCTATCTACCTCTCACCTCTGTTCACCTGTCTCCCAGAGGATGAAAAGGCAAAGCGAGAACTGTCTTCCTGGTCTGTGGAGGGTGATATTAACACTGACCCATGGGCAGGTTATCGATATACTGGTAAACTCAGACCACACTATCCACTGGTGAGTAAATAAGGTAATAAAATTTAACATTCTTTTAAAATGGTACACAGAAGTTGTATTACAATGGTGCATCATATAATCAGGATTGAATTTGCAGAGGAACTTACATTCCAGTTCTTTAATGTTTGTGTGTCAGCATTTGGGAGCTTGTATGGACAATTGGCGATCATGGGAGAAGTGTGAAATTTTAGATGAAAGGACTAAAACTTAAAATTTAAAACCTAAATTTTAAAACACAATGTTGTAAGATGGAATAGATATTTTCTGGCTGGCATTGTGGTAATTTATATTACTCATCTTTTGAAAATTTTTCTTTTAAATTGTCTTTACTTACTTGAAAGACAGAAACACAGAGAAAGATTTCCCCATCTGCTAGTTCACTCCCCAGTTAACCACCATAACTTTGCAAGCCTAGAGCTGGGAACTCAGTGCAGGTCCCCCACAGGGGTGGCAGGAAACCAGTTAACTCAAGTCACCACTGCTGTCTCCTAGGGTGTGTCTTAGCAGGTAGCTGGAATCAGGAGGGGAGACATTCTGATCTGGGATGCAGGTGTCTTAAGCAGCATCTTAACCCACTGTGCCAAACCCTGCCCTCCATTTTTGAAACATTTTAAATGTATATTTATTTCTACCTTAGTTTAGATAGCTTTTCTAAAGCTCCTATCGCTTCCCATGTTCTTGCAGATAGGGTTTAAGAGTTTTATTTTATCATTTTTTTTAATGTGTAGAATACCATGTATACCTTTTTTTAATATTACCTCATTAAACACCATTAAACTCCCATGATGCATTATGTCTATTTCACAGATTAACCTCATTTGTCTAAGATTGCACAGGCAGTAAGGGGCAGAGCTAGGATTTGAACCCAGGAAATCTAGCTCCATAGAACTCAGAGTTTTAATATAGAACATTCACTGAAGTTGAATTCTACTTTGTATCCTTAAATATTTGAACTGTATATTTGTAATTTTTTCTTTTTATTAAAGCGATACATTTTTAACTTTAAAAATTTGGGAAAATATCCCATACCTAAGGAAGTCTCCATAATCCCACCTCCCAGAGATGACCACTTGGCACACGGGTTTGCTGCATGTTTACTTCTAGGTACTTCACTGTTGTCAGCTTGCCAGTACGCTTGAACCAGCACAGGAGTCTTGTGCTCTGCATCTAATCTCAGCTCCTTCCTGGTCTTGGCTATTCTTTCCCTTTTGTGGATTTATTTCCTAAGAAAGGGGAGCACTAATGCTAGCTAAGTCAAGCTTGTCTGAGGGAGATAGATTTGTGTTACAGTACTTTAGATCTCATTTAAAACTTTTCTCTTTTAAAAACTTTTGAGTGAGCTTTTTCCTCAACATTTTTCCTCAACATTTTCCCCAGTTTTATTTTCTTTGTTAGTAAATAGGTTTTACCTAATCTCATTGATGTTTTTAGATGCCAACAAGGCCAGTGCCAAGTTACATTCAAAGGCCAGATTATGCTGATCATCCCCTAGGTAAGTTCTGCTGGGCTGGTTCTTCGTTTTTCAGTGTGTTGGCTTGATGACTGCTGTGAAGGGAAGGGGCCCTTTTCTTGTAGAAAACGTTCGGTGCTGGAATTTTACTAAATGGAAACTTTGTTCTTTCAAGTCGCATAAGAACCTTGAGAGAATTAAAGATTCATCCCCCTCTTTTGAAATCTACCCAGGTCTTAAAACATTCTTTATGTAGCTGTTAAAGAAGACATTCAGAATTTTACTACATTTTATGTGGTTACCTTAACCTCTAGATTTAAAAAAAGAAAAAAAAACCCTCCCCTCCCAGATTTGATTTTAACATGTCGTGTATGTCCTGCTACATGTGTGTATTTAGGGTAGAGTAGCTGTAGAGGCCTGAGTGCCTAACTACAGATTAAAGATTCTGGGCTACAGCAATAATAGAGAAATAGTAGCAGTAGCATAGATAATGGTAGTTATGATGAAGATGATGATGATGGTACTTCTTTAATAATAACTGGTATTTATTTTTGCTTAACTATGTGTCAGGCACTGTGCTAAGTTCTTTGTACGTGTTACTCCATTTAACACTTGCAGCATTCTTGAGGTAGGTTCTGTTGTCTTCTCCATTTTATAGATAATAATAGCAAGATACCCAGAGAAGTATCTATCTAGGTAATTTGCAACATAGGTCCATTGGAATAGTCTCTGACCTCAAGGCCTTACAGTATATTTAAATAGGGCTGTGTGGAATTATTGAATTTGCATGTCCAAAATGGTTGAATATCAACAATTTCATGTGATTTGGTCTACTTAGCTATTTTTGCTTGATTTCCTGAGGAACTCTAAAGTTCTTATGATTATATGTCTAAAATTTAAACTTCATTATTTTAGATAAACTGAAGGAGGCCAGTGCCGCGGCTCACTAGGCTAATCCTCCGCCTTGCAGCGCTGGCACACCAGGTTCTAGTCCCGGTCGGGGCGCCGGATTCTGTCCCGGTTGCCCCTCTTCCAGGCCAGCTCTCTGCTGTGGCCTGGGAGTGCAGTGGAGGATGGCCCAAGTGCTTGGACCCTGCACCCCATGGGAGACCAGGAGAAGTACCTGGCTCCTGCCATCGGATCAGCGCGGTGCGCCGGCCGCAGCGTGCCGGCCGCGGTGGCCATTGGAGGGTGAACCAACAGCAAAAAGAAGACCTTTCTCTCTGTCTCTCTCTCTTTCTCTCACTGTCCACTCTGCCTGTCAAAAAATAATAGAAAAAAAAATAGATAAACTGAAGGAAAGGATAATCTGAATGATAGAATACCATTGATGAAATTTTATTATTCTCTAATATTCTCAAATATAGTACTACTGATTTGTATTTTAAAATATAGACAAGGTAAATTATTATATAATAAAATGTTATGCGTTGAAAAGTAAATCCTACTCCCTAGACTAGAAGTAACTACTATTGCAAATTTGTTGCACAACTTTTTTTTTTTTTTAAGATTTATTTATTTATGTGAAAGGCAGAGTTACAGAGAGGCAGAGAGATAGGTCTTCCATCTGCTGGTTCACTCCCCAAATGGCTCCAGCGGCTGGAGTTGGGCAGAACCAAAGCCAGGAGCCAGGAGCTTGGAGCTTCTTCTGAGTCTCCTGTACTGGTGCAGAGGCCCAAGATCTTGGGCCATCTTCTGCTGCTCTCCCAGGCTATAGCAGAGAGCTGGATTGGAAGAGGACTTGAACCGGCTCCCTTATGGGATGCTGGCATTGCAGGCAGCAGCTTTACCCACTACACCACCACGCTGGCCCGTTGCACAACTTTCTAGATATTATCTGTGTGAGCACGTATTTAACCCCTTCCTCCATTTAGATGAAAAGGATCACATTATATATACCTTTTCACCTTGCTGTCTTCTTTCTTCTTTCAATATATCTTGAAAATATTTTTTATAAGGCCATTTAAAGCCACCTCTGTTTTTGTTGCTGTTGACTGAAGTATTCCATTGTGTGGGTGTATTGCAGTTTATTAAACCAGGCTCTCACCAATGGATGTTTAGATTAATTTCAGGTTTTTGCATCTACCAATTTGCAGTAACTATTCTTAGATTTACATCTTTGTCTACTTGTGAGGGTATGTCTGTAGGCTAACTTAAAGTGAAATGAGTAGATCAGTTTTGATTTTGAGAGCTAGTACGCCAATTGTTAGTCCTGTTGAAAACATGTGAGTTTCTTTTCTCCTTTATTTTCCCCAGCATAATGTGTTGTCAGGGCTCTTGTTTTTGCTAATCTGAATTAAATTGTGTTTTGCTATTATTTTAATGTACATTTTTAAATAAAGCTGAGCATCTTGTCATGTTAAAAGTCATTTGTATTTTCTTTCTTTTTGAGCTATCTGTTCATATCGATAGCCTTTTCTTTCCCTGTTAGGTTATTAGTGTTTTTCATATCGTTCTGTATTTTCCTTCTGTATTAAGGTCAGTAATCCTTTGATGTGTATTGTATTTCTTTTCTCGGTTTATCATTTTTATTTAGCACAATTTAATAATGTTTTCTTTTAAGATATTTGTATGGCCTTGTGATCCAGAAAAACCTTTTTGGTTCAGAGGTTACAAAGCATTTGCCCATGTTTTCTTGCAGTATTTTATGGTTTCAGTCTTTTTGTGTTTGTGAAAAAAATTCGTGAGCTATCTGGAATTTATTTAGCATTAGGAGTTTTTTTCTTTTTTTTTTTTTCTTTTTAAGATTTATTTATGTATTTGAAAGGCAGAGTTAGAGAGAGTCAGAGGCACAGAGAGGGGTCTTCCATCCACTGGTTCACTCCCCAAATGGCTACAACTGGAGCTGCACTGATCTGAAGCCAGGAGCTTCTTCTGGTTCTCGCAAGTGGGTGTAATGGCCCAAGCACTTGGGCCATCTTCTGCTGCTTTCCCAGGTGCATTGAGCAGAAGGCTGGATTGGAAGTGGAGCAGCTGGGACTTGAACCGGAGACTGTATGGGGTGCTTTCACTGCAGGTGGTGACTTTACCTGCTACACCATTGCGCTGGCCCCAGTTTTAGGAGTTTTATAGGGATACAGCTTTTATTTTTCTCAGAAGAATGTCTGGTATCACACCACAGTTATTCAGAAAAAAATCAGTCTTTTTATTACTGATTTGAAATGCAGTCTATATCATTATATATTAAATTCTCATGTCTTTGGTTTTATTTTTTTGGATTCTAATTTGTTTCATAAGCCCGTTTGTCTAATTATGCCATTGCCAAATTCTTAATTATTATAGCTATATAATGTTTTAATCTTTGGTAGATTTTGTTGCCCCCATCTTTCCTCTTTTTCAGAATTTTCCTGTTTATTCTTATATGTTTGTTTTCCCATATGAAATTTAGAATCAGCTTGTCTGATTCCAAAAAATATCCTGTTGGCATTTTTTTTATTTGGATAGTATTAACTTTATAGATTAATTTTGGAAGAATTGACACCTTTACAATATTGCATCTACCTATCCAAGAACAGGGTATGTTTTTCTGTTTTATTTAAATCTCCTTTATGTCTTTTAGTGATTTTAGATTTTCTTCATATAGGTCTTCTAAGGCTTTGTTTGTTACTTTATCTTTTCAGTTATTTTTGTGAATAGCATCTTCTGTATTTTTTTAGCTTATGATTTGTTTATGGGAAGGATACTGATTTTGATATCTTTGCTCTGTAGTTTGTGAAATTGCTCAGTTCCTTTAGTCACTTGCTAGATGTTTCTTCTGTTCCAGGGCGATATAGGAGTATCTGAAATTGATAAGAATTTTGTCCTTTCCTTTCTAATTTTATGCATCTTATTTCATTTTTCCATTTAATTGCATTTGCTAGTGTAGCCAGAACAGTGTTACAATAACAGTGCTGCTAGTAAGCAATCTGTGATACTGTTTCTTGGCTTGAGATTGTATTTATGTTAAAGTGGTAACCGACCATGTTATCAGAATTATCCTTTCTAGATGATCATTTATTTTTGTTTTCCTAACCTATGACTGTGATGAATTAGGTGAATAGATTTGCTAAACTGAACTATCCCGGCCTTCTGGTATGAATTTCATTAAAGTAATAGTATAATACATGTTTACTGTATTGTTTGCTAATATTTTACTTGAAATTCTTCTACCAGTACTTATAAAGAAGATTTTGTTGATGATTTATTGCATTACTTTTATCATATTTTGAATTAATTTCTCTACTGACTTTATTACATTTAAATGTATGTAAAATTTGAATTAAGCTTACTAATTTTATTAATATTCTTAGGGCAGTATTTTTCAAACTTCTTTGACTATGTCCCAGAGTGAGACATAGACTTTGTAACATGAATATGTGCATGTATACGTAAACAACAATAAAATATTTCATGGCAATATTTACTCCTACTGTATTTATTTATAGCTATAGCGTAGTCTGCTACATGGTGACACTGCAGTTTGAAATATACTGACTTAAGATTCCCTTTCAAAAATTGATTTGCCAGTTGTTGATATATATGCTTCATTAGATGGTGATCATGAAATCAGTTTGTAAATTTTATGGCACTATTCAAATGTCAGTCATTTACTGAGTTTATTAGCACACTGGGTGTCATTTAATATGTGCTCCAAAAATATTGGCTGATTTCTAACAATATGAAATTTTTTCTTTAGAATTCTTCCTTCAATTTGTGTAGCAAATTCCTTTTTTTTTGGAGACTGTTTTTACAAAAAAACTAACTTGGGCCGTTATGAAATATTATGAAATATCGTGTGATAGACTGGACTATTATTATGTCATCTGGGATATGTTATGCTAACCAATACTAGGTATTTCTGTTCAGTTTGGTTTTACTTACTGATTTTCCATTGCAGGAATGTCTGAATCTGAACAGGCTCTTAAAGGTACTTCTCAAATTAAATTACTCTCATCTGAAGATATAGAAGGGATGCGACTTGTATGTAGGGTAAGAGTTACTTTTAACTATTAGCTGGGACATGTTTAAGCATGACCTTAGAGGCAGACACAGTCAGTAATCCTGCTGGTTTATACAGGTTGTTACAGTTTAAGGCTGATTAGCCATAGTTGTTGCCACAGTTTTTTTAATACTTAATTTGGTGGCAAATCTATATTTAGTTGACATTCTGTTTCTATTACCTTTGTATTTTTTTAAAGAACCATATTTTTGTGATATTTTGTTATTTTCACATGTAATTATAAGACAAAGTTTTTGGCTCGTATTGAAGGTCTTATTTTGAAATACCTATGATATTGTGTTAGTGATTATTACTTACCAGATAAAAATCACGTCTATATTTTTTCAAAAGAAAAAAATAATTATATTGATACTGTTCATCTCGATGTGATACTTAAGATTTTTATGCAACACTTTATGTAAAAGTGATTTAATACTGATTTTCTCTGGTAGTCTAGTGAAGTTCGTATCTTTACCACTTATTTTCTCTGTTTTTTTTTTTAATTTCCTTTTTTTCCTATACCATTATAGAAATGTGAGAAGACTCAACCTTTAGCAATTGGTTATTTAGCATATACATATTTTGCATTAAAATCAAGCTTACTTTTTAAAAAATATTTATTTATTTGAAAGACAGAGTTATAGAGATGCAGACGCAGAGAGACTAAGAGAAAGGTCGTTCATCCCCTGGTTCACCCCAAATGGCTGCAATGGCCAGACCTGCAGCTGATCCGAAACCAGGAGCCTGGAGCTTCTTCCAGATCTCCCATGCAGGTGTAGGGGTCCAAGAACTTGGGCCATCTTCTACTGCTTTCCAAAACCACAGCAGAGAGCTGCATCGGAAGTGGACCAGCCGGGTCTCGAACCAGCGTCAATATGGGATATCGCCACTGCAGGTGTTGGCTTTACCTGCCAAGCCACATTGCTGACCCTAGGCTCACTTGTTAAATTATTTGCTAATAATTTTGTGTTTCTACAAAATTTGCTCAATTTTGTAGGAAATGACATGTTTATATTAACAAAATTATTTTTATTGAAGGAGAGATTCATTTTACCAGTCTTCCACAGAATCTAAGACAGTACAGATTTCTATTTCAGGGTCATTTCTTTCTGCATATTTTCTCTTTTTCAGCTTGCTAGAGAAGTTTTGGACATTGCTGCGGGGATGATCAAACCAGGTGTAACTACTGAAGAAATAGATCATGCTGTACATTTAGTAAGAGCTTTCATTTTTTTTTTTTTTTTTTTACTTTGGAAAAAAATTCTTATTAAATTTTAGGCTTCTAAAATTTAAGTAGACTTAAATTCTGAATCTCTAAAGTAACTTGGTTGAACTAATTTGGAAGGAGATTTTTGCCTTGTTACAAATACGGAAAACATTCCAATCATCAGTATTTTTATCTTTAAGGACTTGTGACATTAAGGTCTGAAGTGAAGTTGGAAGATCTCATTTCTGAAACCACATACTTGATAAGCACTTCAGTTGAGCTTTTATAAAGTGATTGATGTTGTCAGTGCTTTAAGTAAATCCTTCCTGTGTATGCACCAAATACTCTGAAATAAGAAAGGAATATGACTTCTGAAGCAGCAGATGTTCCCTTTCATATCCACAGCCATTAAACAGAGTCTAGTATACATATAGTATATGCAATAGAGGAATTACTTTCTTTAAAAAAATGAAGATTGTCTGTCATAGAGACCTTAAGATTCTAGGAGATGAATTATTATGTGAATAGATCCTTTGCAAAGGGAGAATGGTAGCTAATTAAACACATGAAAAATGGATTGAACCTGTTTTGGTAATCAAACAAATATAATCTATGCAACCTAGTAATTTAGTGTTTTAAAAATGTTTATTTCCATTGTGTGCAGAGATGATGAAAGTGGTTACTCACACTCTTGCTTAGTGTCAGTATTATAAATTAGAATTTGAAAGAATTTGCTGGAATGTCTTGAGCTACACAAATATTTTCAAATTGTTTTACTCAGAATTTTAAAATTCTGATTTAGGATATTCCATTAGTTATTATTGTGAAATGTGTAATATGCAGGAATAGCATTTTGACTGCTTCTTATTTGGCCAAGTACTCTTGAGTGCTTGCTTTGTTTAACTCATTTAATATCCCCAGTAAGTCTTGAGGGCAGGTACTGTTAGCCCCATTTTATAGATAAGGAAACTGGGGAAAAGAGAAGTTAAATTGTCCAAAGGATGCATTTTTTTTTTTTTTGAAGACTTCTTTATTTAAAAGAGTTACAGAGAGAGAGAGAGAGAGATCTTCCATCCGCTGGTTCATTCCCCAAATGACTGCCACAACCAGGGCTGAATTATGCAGAAGCTAGGAGCCAGGAGCTTCTTCCAGGTCTCCCACATGGGTGGCAAGGGCACAGGCACTTGAGCCATCTTTTGCTGCTGTCCCAGGAGTGTTAGCAGAGAGCTGGATTGGAAGTGGAGCAGCCAGGACTCAAACCAGGGCCCATATGGGATTCTGGCATCACAGGTGGTGGCTGAACCTGCTACTCTACAACACTGTCCCCAAATTACAGAGCTTCTAAGTGATAGAGTTAACATTTGCAGCAATGACTGGTTGATTGATTCTTTGTGATTGATTCTTTGTGCGCTAAACTATTTATACTGCTACAGGATATGTAGAGTTAATTCTCTAAGTAAGGAAAAGGCCACAGGCATGTAGTTACTTGTTTTAAGATTTTCTTTTTTGTAATTGAGGGAGTTTCAAATTAATGTAGATTTCCAATAATAGTGGAATTGCTAGTAAAATTATGATGAGTTCCACAAATGGCATTTTATGCCAGCACTAAAATATTATTAGCCTGAAGACGGTGTGGCAGTATGGAAATGGAAATGATACTGTGATTACCGCTGTGTGGAACCATCCAAGTAATGGAAGACTTGTGGAAACTAGACCATTTTGGGGGCTGGCACTGTGGTGTAGTGGGTAAACCCACTGGCTGCAGTGCTGGCATCCCATATGGGCACCAGTTCAAGTCCCGGCTGCTCCACTTCGCATCCAGCTCTCTGCTATGGCCTGGGAAAGCAGTAGAAGATGGCCTAAGTCCTTGGGCCCCTGCACCCGCATGGGAGACCTGGAAGAAGCTCCAGGATCCTGGCTTCAGATTGGCGCAGCTCTGGCTGTTGTGGCCATTTGGGGAGTGAACCAGCAGATGGAAGACCTCTCTGTCTGATTCTCTTTCTCTTTCTGTGTACCTCTGACTTTCAAATAAATAAATAATTTTTTAAAAAAAGATTTAAAAAAAAAGAAACTAGACCGTTTTCTCTCATAGTGTTCCTTTGTTGTTCCCGGGAATGTAGTAATTAAAATGTTCCTGGAAGTATTTTGTGATTTGTTAATTATACTAATATTCATTTTTTGATCATAGGGATATTGACTTGTTTGTATATAAGAAATTATTGCATTAAAAGTACTTATTAGTATTTGCTTTAAATATTATCTTTTAAGGTGATTTTTACAAGCAGTTCTAAAATGGAATCGTAATATAGTAAATGTTTATGTATTTGAAATATGTAAATTTTCTTTAAAATTATTCAGTCACCCATAAACTGATGTGTATACAGTGAAACTTTGTTATATAATATCTAGTACTATTTCTAAATAAGTTCTTTGTAGTACATCTGCCCAACAGTTTTCACATTTTAAAAGGGGAGTCATTGCATACCCAGAATTTTTTTCCTTCTGCACATTGAAAATTGTTTTCTCTGCATTTGAATTCATTTTAGGCATGCATTGCAAGAAATTGCTATCCTTCTCCTCTGAATTATTATAATTTCCCAAAGTCTTGTTGTACCTCAGTGAATGAAGTCATCTGCCATGGAATTCCAGACAGACGGCCCTTGCAAGAAGGTGATATTGTTAATGGTAAGAACTATGTACATGGGACTTCTGTCACTCTGAGTAAACAAACTGTAACGTTTTAACAGTGTGACTGTGACTTGTGTTTTTGTACTTACTTATTTTCTATTTAAAATTCAGCATCTCTAAGAGAGAATCTGCAGAAATCTCTCTTAAAGTTTTAAGCATGTTGCTTTTTTTTTTTTAAGATTTATTTGTTTGAACAGCAGAGTTACAGAGAAAAGGAGAGGTAGAGAGGGAGAGAGGAGAGAGATCCTTGATATGCTGATTTACTCTCCACATGGCTGCAACTGCCAGGACTGGGCTAGGCCAAAGCCAGGATCTTGGACATCCATCCAGGTCTCCCACATGGATTAAGGGTCCCAAGAACTTGGGTCATCTTTCACTGATTTCCCAGAAGTATTAGCAGGGACCTGGATGGACAGTGGAGTAGGCAGGACTCAAACTGGCACCCTTGTGGGATGGCAGCATCACAGGCAGCAGCTTAACCCACTGTGCCACAGTGCCAGTCTCTGTACCTGTTGCTTTTAAGATAATTCTAGTGTGATGTGCCTGGTTTAGCATGTTTTCTTTAATACCTGTTATCTCATATGTGATTGATAAATAGGCGAAAAGTGACATGGGAAAGTAATGTTGAAATGGTGTGTTTTTAATTAATTTATTTAGAAAGAGAGGATAAGATCTTCCCCCATTTGTAATTCACTCTCCAGATGCTTGCAACAGCTTGAACTGGGCTATTTTGAAGCCAGGAACTCAGTCTGGCTACATCACATGGATGGCCTTGATCCAAGTTCTTGAGGCATTACTTGCTGCCTCCCAGGGTGCACATTAGCAGGAAGCTGGGACTGTAGCCCAGGCACTCCAGCATGGGATGAGTGTATCCCAAAAGGCATGTTAACTGCTAAAGGCATGTTAACTGTGCCAAATACCTGTCCCAAAGTAGTGTTTTTTATTTGATTGATTTTTTTTTAAGTGTAATGATTTTAAAGAGATCGGGACAGGTTTTTCTTATAGATGCAGAAAAACTATTAGCTATATATGAAGACCTTAAGAAAAAGCTGAAAATCTCATAGAAGTGCCTTTCCTGAGTGGAAGTGGCTTTGAATTAAGGCTTCTATGTTTTAGTGTCTTGGGAACCTGCAGATGTAGAGGAAGAAACTGGAAAGACATTCTCCCTGTGATTAGAAAACAGTACTGATGGAGAAAGCTCTCTTAGATGGCATTTTAAGGTTCACATTGGTGAAATTAGTCTCTTTCATCCTCAGATGGAGGAAGCATGAGCCCAGGTGTTAAAGGCTGCAGACTGGTGATGCGTGCTGTGATGGTGGAGTTAGCTGTGGCATTGTTTTTCATTCGAATTGTTACTGCTTTAGTTAGAGTGGCTGTTTATAAAGTTTCGTAGATTTTCATAAATCCTATTATTTGGCTTACATATGTAGTGTGTGAGATTTTTTCACTGTGCTTATTGTGCTAAAGCTGAACCACCTATACTACAGTGTGGAGGTTGATTAAAATTCAAGGCTTTAAAATATTTATTTTATATGCTCTACAAATGCACAGTGAGTATATTTTTTAAAATTATTTTTCTAATTATAGTTAAAGATTTGCACAGATTCATTCTCTCTCTTTTTCTAGATTTATTTTCTTATTTGAAAGGCACAGTTAAAAAAGGGGGAAGGGTAGAGAGAAGAGAGACCGACCTTCTGTCTGCTGGTCCAGTCTTCAAATGGTTGGAACAGCCAGGGCTGGGCCAGACCAGAGCCAGGAGCCAGGAGCTTCTTCCTGGTCTTCCACGTTTGTGAAGGGGCCCAAGCGCTTGAGCCATCCTCTGCTACTTTTCCAGCACATTAGCAGGGGCCTGGATCAGAAGCAGAGCAACTGGGACGTGAACCGGTGCCCAACAGGCACCACAATGCCAGCCCCCCTACATTGGGTATATTTGTTTTAATGATATAGTTTATATATTGAGTATATTTATTACAGTAATGTATATTTTTGGGAAAAAAGAGGATGATATTCACATAGAAGTGAAAGGCAAATGAGTTTTTCTAAAAAGAAGTGTAGAACAGTTTCTGAGTTTTTCTGTTTACTTATGCCCTAAAAGGAGGAAGAAGCCTATTTAAGATAGTGAGAATAGTATTTTCTATTTAATGCCAAAATGTAACAAAGTCCTCAATTCATTATTACTGACTCAATTTTTTTTATCTTGCATGATTGCATCCTGCATACATTTTTCTTGGTCCAGTTACTTTAAGAGCATAAAAAACTAGCATCTGGCTTGTGCTGCATGGCCGTGCTCCTGTTCTTCACAGTGAGTGTGGTTACATTGCACTCCAGGAGTTGCTGTTGGGCAGTAACTGTATGTTTGTTGGTGTCTAATTTGAGAATGCAATAGCTCTTTTTCTTTAGGCTGCTTGAAGCGATCATGTTAAGAGTAATTTTTTTGGGGGGGAAAAAGAAATGTTGTCTTCCTATTTGTACCTTCTTTTGCAGTGGACATTACTCTGTATCGCAACGGTTATCACGGGGACCTGAATGAGACGTTTTTTGTTGGCGAAGTGGATGAGGGAGCACGGAAGCTTGTTCAGACCACGTACGAGTGTCTCATGCAAGCCATTGATGCAGGTCAGCCTCAGTGCGGGCACCCGTTGGTGCTGCTGTGTGTGGGTGGGCGATGAGGAGTGCCCTCTGCGCGACTGTGTGTTTGCTGCCTCTGTGCTCCTCTACTCAGATTCGCTTTGGCTGTAGTAGGGGTGGGTTAAGGGTGATTGGGTGATTTGGGAATCCTTAGATGGGGGTGGACCAGATGACTACCCAGCGTTCCTTGCTCTTCTGTGACAGTCTTTCTGTGATAAATGAAGAGGATTGTGTGGATAGTTCTGTAGTGGAGTTTTTATTTATACTTTTTCATTCTTTCACCTGTGTAAATATGATGTCCTGATTATAAAAAAGTCAAACAGTCAGAGAAAAATGAGCAGTCCTCCTACATGCTTACAATTTTCCTTACATTTTCCATCACTTTTGTTAACATTTAGATTTTTGCTTTCTCCTGTGTCCTTATTGAAACATTGACAAACATGTATGTTTATGCATTTAATTAGGTTAAATAGAATTGTGCTGTTAGTGATGTTCTGTAATTTGGTGTTTGTCAGCTATTAATATCTTAGAAACCTTTTCACATTAGCATGTGTAACCTGTGCAACAAAGATACCTGAGCGAGCAAACAAAGGAGCGCCACACATTGATAAAATTTGATGGTCCTTTATTGCCGGCAGTGGAGAGTGGGCTCTTGCCCTAAAGAACTCTCGACCCTGAAGCCCAAAGCAACAGGGTTTATAAAGGCAAAAACCACAAAATTGGGAGGGGAATTCATGGTTGCTAGGAACAGGGAGGAATACATGGTTACCGGGGTCAAGCTGACCTAAAACCTATGCGAAACTAGTATCAATTATAATCTTGACAATACCAGTTACAATCTTAACAATTTCAATTATAATTTTGACGTTAATCCAGATATTGGTTTTAATCATATGTAGGACATAGACAAATTACTTTTTTTTTTTTTTTTACAGGCAGAGTGGACAGTGAAAGAGAGAAAGACAGAGAGAAAGATCTTTCTTTTGCTGTTGATTCACCCTCCAATGGCCGCTGCGGCCGGCATACCGCACTGATCCGATGGCAGGAGCCAGGTGCTTCTCCTGGTCTCCCATGGGGTGCAGGGCCCAAGTACTTGGGCCATCCTCCACTGCACTCCCTAGCCATAGCAGAGAGCTGGCCTGAAAGAGGGGCAACCGGGACAGAATCCGGTGCCCTGACCGGGACTAGAACCCGGTGTGCCAGCGCCGCTAGGCAGAGGATTAGCCAGCCTATTGAGCCACGGCGCCGGCCAACAAATTACATTTTTATCATTAACCCAGGTGTGGCCTATCCACTTCCAAGCTTGAGCAATCATGCTAGGGGATTTCTATGCTCTTCCAAGTGTGATGTAGTGGACTGCTATTATTCAACTGTTTTAGATCATAGTTTCAGACCAGCGTCTCACGGTGTGTTGTGGGGGTGGGGGCATCTTCCCAGAATGGAGTCTCAAGTGCTCCAAAATGGAGTCCCTACTGTCAAGGTGTTACTTCAATAGGCCTCATTCTATTATTTGTTTATTGGAAAGGCAGAGTGACAGAGCATGAGAGTGTACCCTTATACTTCCATCTGTTGGTTAGTTACCTTTTAAATGCCCACAATACTCAGGGCTGTGCCAAGCTGAAGGCAGTAGCCTGAAACTCCATGTGGGTCTCTCACTTGGATGATATGGGCCCAAGGATGCATTAGCAGAAAGCTGGATCAGAAGTGGTATAGCCAGGACTTGAACTGGCACTGTGCTTTGGGATGCTGGTATCCCAAGCTGTGGCTTAGCCTGTTGTGGCACGCTTGCCCATTTTTAGTCCACTCTTTAGCATGGATGGGAGATGATGAAGTTTTTATTAATTTAGTAAAATGAAGAAATTAAAATGAAAGAATGTGATTTTTTTGTATATTAATATGTAAAATTCATTTTTACTTATTCACTGATGATTATTCAAAAACTTCAGTATCCTTGGTGATATTTTGAAGTGAGAACTTTAGTGTTTAGTGTTTTTTTTTTTGTTTTTCTTAAAAAGATTTATTTGAGAGCAGAGATAGAGAGAGAGAGAGATGTCATTCATCCACTGGTTTACTCCCCAGATGGTTGTAACAGCTGGAGCTGGGCTCGTCTGAAGCCAAGAACTTGGAGCTTCCTCTGATTCTCCCATACGGGTGCAGGGGCCCAAGGACTTGGGCCATCTTCTGCTTTCCCAGGCCATAACAGAGAGCTGGATCAGAAGTGGAGCAGCCGAGACTCAAACCAGCGCCCATATGGAATGCCGGCACTGCAGGCATTGCCTTTACCTGCTAAGTCACATGCTGGCCCAGCGTTTAGTTTGCTATTTAGTTTTAAATAATTTTTAGTGTATCTGCTGGATAATATGTTCAGTGTCTATATCCTTTATGCTTCTCTGAGTTGATTCAGATAATCAGAAAACTCTAATATTATTTCACAAAGACACAAAATTAGATCTTATTAACAAGAAACTATGAGAACTTGGAGTCTTCCCAACAGTAGCCAGGAAATTCTGGGACATAGGTGCTTGATATCTGAAAAGTGCTAACAATACCTTAAAGTCATTTCTGCCCTTTACTTCACACTAACATGACTGTTTTCTTGTGTAGAGCACTGGAGAGTTTGAAAAGTTGTTGAAATTAACCTTCTGGAATAGAGTTTCCCAGTCTGCATTTTGGGCTTGATAATTTTTTATTGTAGAGGCCTGCCTGCCCTGTGTGTTATAAGAGGCTTAGCTACATTCCTGATCTCTACCCATTAGGTGTCAGTTTCACCATCATCCCTGTGCGACAGCCAAAATGTCTCCAGATACTAGTCTTGGGACCAAATTTGCCTTCAGTTTGAGAATTAGGGAAAAAAATCTCCTGTCCTCTCATGATTGCTCAACAAGGATTTTCTGTTTTTCTTTATTTTTAAAGATTTATTTATTCATTTGAGAGACAGAGCAATAGAGAGAAGGGGAGTGGGAGGGGGAGAAATTCCATCAGCTCATTTGCTCTCCATATGGCCACAATAGTGAGGTTTGGACTGTCCTGTCCTCCCGTGTGGGTAGCAGGGGCTTAAGTACTTGGACCATTTTCTGCTGCCTTCCCAGGCACATTAGCAGGCAGCTGGATTGGAAGCAGAAAAGCTGGGACTTGAACTGGTGCACATTGCAGGGTGCCAGTATCGAAGCTGGGGGCCTGACCTGTGCACATTGCCAGCCTGGGGTGTTCTTTATTGAATACTGATGATTTCAGTATTGTTGTATCTGTGCAGTCCCCACCCTCCACCCCCACCCCCAGCCGTGTGCCATATCCAGTTCCTGGGGTCTTAGTGCTAGGAGAGCCTTGAGAGCAATGAGAAACACGTGTTTCATTTTCTTTTTTATTAAAACAGTAATAAAAACCATAAAAGTTAAATAGGAAATATAGAATGAGAGTACCTTTTTTTACGTTACCCCTAGTATCTACCACACAGGCAACTATGAATAGTTTGAGAATCATTTTTATGGAGATAAAGAAGCCCAGGGGAAGTAATTCTTTGAGAAGTTGACCAGACTGAACCTTAGAATGACTCAAGTTAACTTTCTGGCGTTGTTTTTCTCTTGATACAATGTTTTTCTCACTTTACTAGAACAGAACATTTGGCCTTAGGGAAGGATCTAAAGAGAGGTGTGTTTTCCATTGTTTTATTACCTGTTGTTAGAGGAAGCAAAAAGATGCCTATCTTCAACTTCTTAATTTTGCAAACTGTCTTCCTCTTTTGGACCTCTGGTGCTGCTCTGGGAATCAGGGCTTTGTCCTTTGCTGGCCACATGGCCTCTGTGTGCCCAAGTCTCCTTACCTGTTAGTTTCAGCATGAAGACATACAGAGCCTTTAGAGAGGTTCCTGGCAAATGGACTGTAATTGCTTACCAAATGTTAGTGATTGTTACTCCATGTCATGAGTTTTCTCTTTTCCTTTCAGTGAAACCTGGTGTTCGATACAGAGAACTGGGAAACATTATTCAGAAACATGCCCAAGCAAACGGGTTTTCAGTTGTTCGAAGCTACTGTGGGCATGGGATTCATAAGCTTTTCCACACAGCCCCCAACGTCCCTCATTATGCCAGTAAGTACTGTCCACAGAGATTTTGCGTATGCTGCTCACTTATTCAACAAGTACTAACCAAACATTAAACAGGACCTACTGTTTTGTATTGATTAATCTGTTAGCTCATGAAAATGTCCTCACCCCTAATTTATGTTTGCTCAAACACACTCCAAGTTTGTTTCTTGCTCATATAACACACAAATGGGTGTGTTTTGTCACCATGGGGTCAGGGCCATTGCACTGTGACTAAGGCTCATCTTTATCCAAGAAGGGCTTTCATGAGTACTTTGGGACTTGCCTTCAGACAACAGTTGGTGGGGAAGATGCCGTAGAGGGAGAGTGAAGGACGATTGGAGGAGGCCTGTACTTGAGAGATTTTATTGAGGCAGGCTGTGTCGCTCCCCCTCTTCGTGGAGGAACGACACAGGACCCTGCGCTGTTCTTTCGTCTGCTCGGCCCTCCCCGGGTTTGCTGCTGGTTCTTCCCGGGTTGGCTACTATCCCTTCCACCTCCGTGGAAGGGCAGTTCCCCCTGGCCGCATTCCCCACTTCCGCAGGGGAGCGGCACACCGCCGGCCGGTTCTCTCGGGGGCTGCACGGGTTCCCTTAGATGTTCCCCATAGATGTTCCTGGTGCATGCCGTCTCTCTCCTCCTTTATAGTCCTCCTCCGCCAATCCTAACTCGGCTGCCCACACGCCGAGTACGCTGCTCTCCAATCAGGAGCAAGTCCTACAGTTAATTGGTTGAACTGGAGGCAGCTGTGCGGAAGCTGTTTACTTCTCTCCCAGCGCCATATTGTGGGAGAGCAGATGCATAGAATAAGTCTTAATTCGAGTAACTTAGTCTAGTCCGGATTGCTCCCCACAGATCCCCCTTTCTTTTTATTTTTGGCGTTGATACGCGCCTGTCTTCGGTGTCCCGCGGCACACACTCTGCTCTACTTGCTAGAGTTGCCACAGGCTCTTACAAGTCCTATCAGGCAAGCCGAATCCGGGTCCTCTCTTCGCCATGTTGTGAGGAGGTTTTTAGGCGCTGATGCATGCCTGTGTTCGGTGCCCTGCAGCGCATGCTCTGGTCGAGCCTGCAGGGGCTTACAAAACCTATCAGGCAAACCGAATCCAAGCCTTCTCATTGCCGTATTGTGGGGGAGACTTATTAGTGTTGGTTTGTGCCTATCTTCGGTGACCTGCAGCTCATACTCTGGTCGAGCTGCTTGCTGGCGCTTACCGCCTTAAATCAGGCAGACCGAATCCAAGCTTAATATTGTTGTATTGTGGGGAAGCCTTGCTGATGTTAATTCGTGCCTGTCTTCGGTGACCTGCGGCGCATAAGCTGCTAGCCGCCCGCAGGTGCTCATCGCCTCACTTGATTAGGCAGACCGAATCCAAGCTCTCACATTGCAGTGTTGTAGGGAGGCCTTTTTATTTCTCTATTTCTCTATCTCCGGGCATTCCTATTTCTCCCATTTTACTTCTATCTGCCAACATTCCCATTTCTCTCACTCCACTTCCAAACTTCTGTTTCTCTTATCCCCGCAGCTTTCCGGCACCTCGCCCCGCCGGCGGGTTCCCGGCTCTGCGCCGCTTCAGCCCGCGCGCCTCTCTCATCTGCGCAGCTTCCCGGCTTTGCGCGGCTCGGCTCGGCTTCGCGCGCTCCGCGGTCTCCACGCTTAACCCTTTCGCGTCTGAACCACGGCCTACGCCAGCCCCGTTCCCTATCTATTCACGCCCCGTGCTCTCTCTGCACGCGGCGGCTTCCGCGAGTAACACAGCGTAGCTTGCGTCTCCGCCACTAGGATTCAATCTAAGTTCCCCGGGCTAGCCTGGCGAATTCAACCCAGCGTACGTCTCCGCCCCACGGTTTGGCTTCCCGTCCTTTGCTCCCCGGGCTAATCAGACGGATCCCAACCTGGCTTGCGTCTCAGCTTCTGGTTTCAACTTTTCGCCCCCTATTCCCGGGCTAACTTGAGAACCCCAAAGTGGCTTTCGTCTCCGCCTCGGCCTGCCCCCTGCGGCTTCAATTTCCCTAACATTTTTCTCTACCCGGTATGTTTCCCCAAGCTTTCCTCCAACAATATTCCTCCCTCATTTCTCCTGGCCTCTCCCCACAGTCCGCGTCCGAGTCTGTTTGTTCTAGCTTTCACTTTCGCTTTCGACCTTGGAGATTTCTCCCAGCTTCCCCCCGTAGTCCGTATCCGAGTCTATGCCTAGGCTTTCAATAGCTTCTTCCGGCACCCTTTTCGTCCGGCTTTTCCCTAGGCTATTTGCTAGTCTCTCTCTCCGATATTTTCCCTAGGCTGTTTGCTAGTCTCTCTCTCCGATATTTTCCCAATTCTTCCCGTTTCTTCCCTCCTAAGTTTCATATCCGTCCTAGGTTTCCTATCCGAGCTAGGTTTCCTATCCGAGTCACGGCACCATTATGTCGCTCCCCCTCTTCGTGGAGGAACGACACTAAGCCCTGCCTAGGCTTCATATCCGAGTCACGGCACCATTATGTCGCTCCCCCTCTTCGTGGAGGAACGACACAGGACCCTGCGCTGTTCTTTCGTCTGCTCGGCCCTCCCCGGGTTTGCTGCTGGTTCTTCCCGGGTTGGCTACTATCCCTTCCACCTCCGTGGAAGGGCAGTTCCCCCTGGCCGCATTCCCCACTTCCGCAGGGGAGCGGCACACCGCCGGCCGGTTCTCTCGGGGGCTGCACGGGTTCCCTTAGATGTTCCCCATAGATGTTCCTGGTGCATGCCGTCTCTCTCCTCCTTTATAGTCCTCCTCCGCCAATCCTAACTCGGCTGCCCACACGCCGAGTACGCTGCTCTCCAATCAGGAGCAAGTCCTACAGTTAATTGGTTGAACTGGAGGCAGCTGTGCGGAAGCTGTTTACTTCTCTCCCAGCGCCATATTGTGGGAGAGCAGATGCATAGAATAAGTCTTAATTCGAGTAACTTAGTCTAGTCCGGATTGCTCCCCACAGGCTGGAATTGGCATAAATCATTTACATTCACTTTCCATCAGCATTTCTTGAAAGAAAGCAAATTAATTTTGGCGAACAGTCAGCGCTCTGCCCCTTGACTGGCCATTACCATTCTGATTCCTTTGGTGAAATCAGTCCATCTTAATTAGTTTGATTTGAGTTCTTAGTGTTTGTCTGTTATCTACAATCTGATGATAGAGACAGAGGAGGAATAAACACACATGTCCTCGAGTTGAAAGCTGGATGCTAGAATCACACAGGAAGTGTAAAAACAAGGCCTTTTTTCTTGAGAGAGAAGTCATGTGCAGAAGTGAGCCTGTTAAGTTAGTGCCAAAAGTGAAAGCTGTCTACACCTAGTGACCTGGGAGAGGATTTGGCATGTATATTGAGCTATTGCTATGTAAACACTATTGCTATGTAAACACATATATCTCTTGTGCTTGGATTTTCTCATCTGAACAATAGTAGGATTGATACTTTCATGAAATTGCTGTGAGGATTGAGAATACAGGAAAAACACTCAAAAGCAGTGCAGGAAAATAGTACATGTAATGCCCTAATATATACTTGAGGGATGATGATGATGATGATACATTATGAATCATTTGATCACAATTCTGAATCACCTGAGTGTGCATTCCTTTTCTCAGAATGGAAGTACCTATTCTGATTACTGTGTGTGTGTGTGTGAGAGAGAGAGAGAAAGAATATGTGCAGGGGACTTAGTGAGAAAACAGCTCTTGCAATGGCAACTGCGAACTCGGATTTAGATTAGAGAAGGGCCATTGAGAGACAGAATTTATGGGAGAAGGAGACATGGGTCATGGTGATGTTGGCAAAGTGTAGTGCGACTGACATGAGCTGCTGCCACCTGAGCTTCATATTACATTTACTTAGTTCTGACAGAGGCAGGCACTAGGCGTATTTCACTTTATACATTTGATATGTTTATGAGCATTCAAGTGTAAATTGAGTTTATACAAAACAAAATATGTTGTAATCCCTTTAGGGAAGTGTTAAAGGAAGCTGCTGGGGGAGTTTTGTATGGCAGGGAAACCTTTTGAAATGTAAATAATGTCTGCCTTGGTTTGTAACTCTATTCTTAACCCAAATGAGAGAGGGACCAGGAAGTTCTTGTATAACTAAGAAAATTCCTTGTTCAGTGAAAGGTTGTTTGCTGCTTTATGTAAGTCATTAATGGTTGGGAAGTAATGATAGTGGCCTACATTTAGAATGTATATTAAAATGATTCTGTGAGATAGGTATTTAAAAGCAGGTACAATTTTTTAAAAGTACATGATACAGTATCTGTATTTGTGAGTCACATGGATAATGTATATTAGTTGAGTGATTTCCTTTTTTTTTAAGATTTTATTTATTTATTTGAGAGGTAGAGTTACAGACAGTGAGAGGGAGAGACAGAGAGAGAGGTCTTCCATCTCTGGTTCACTCCCCAGATGGCCGCAACAGCCGGAGCTGAAAGTTTGTGGAAAATACATTATTATGAAAAACCTTTGCATGTGTTTCAAGACTTTTTGAACCAAAATAGGCTTTCTCTCTCTCTCTCCTTTTTTTTTTTTAATGGTTTATTTATTTGAGATGTAGAGAAGAGCCCGCAGTGGCCCTGGGCTGTGCTGCGCCAAGGCTGAAGCCAAAGCCAGGAGTGCAGTGTGGGTCTCCCGCATCTGTGGCAGGAAAGGAATCCAATCACCTGAACCAAAACCTTCAGCCTCCCAGGGTGTGAGCAGAAGCCGATGACAAAATTCTGGCATCTTAAACACTAGGCCAAATGCCTGCCCTTATATTTATCTTCTAGTTCCCTGTAATCCATGAGATTACATTCTGTTTTAGTCTTTGAAATCCAGAGTGTTGGGGCTGGCACTGTGGTGTAGTGGGTAAAGCCGCTGCTTGTGGCGCCGGCATCCCATATGGGCGCCGGTACGAGTCCTGGCTGCTCCACTGCCGATCCAGCTCCCTGCTATGGCCTGGGAAAGCAGTAGAAGACGGCACCTGCCCCTACGTGGGAGACCCTGAGGAAGTTCCTGGCTCCTGGCTTCAGATCAGTGTATCTCTGGCTGTTGCAGCCATCTGGGGAGTAAACCAGTGGATGGAAGATTCTCTCTCTTTCTCTCTCTCTCTCTCTCTCTCTCTCTCTCTCTCTCTTTCTCTCTTTCTCTCTTTCTCTCTTTCTCTCTGCCTCTCCTCTCTGTGTAACTCTGACTTTCAAAGAAATAAATAAATCTTTACAAAAAGAAAGAAATCCAGGGTGTTTTACACTGATGAGCCCATCTTTTCAGGTTGTTGTGTAGCTCGAAGTCTCAGTGCTGCTGTATTGGACAGCAGAGCTCTAGATTCCTTCTTTTTGTGGCAGCACACTGATACTCTTGACATTTTTTCTTTTTGGTATTCCCCAAGGGAATATATGCTGGTTATGTGTGTGTAATAAATTGCTTACAGTTTTGAGGGAAAGTTTACTAGATTAGAAGTAAAAAGTCAAAAATATTTTTATTTTTTTCTTTAAAGATTTTGTGAAATTCAGGATTTGGAATCTACATGAAGTGTATTTTGGCAGTACCCAAGGTAGTAGGAAGCAACATGCTAGCTGTTCACCAGGAGGGTGTAGGAATATAAATGTGTAGGTGAGATCAGACCATCTCTAGAAAGAATAGAGTTCCACAGATGGAGTCACATTGGATACATTTGCTGCTGATTGCCAATGGGATCATGACCTTCAACAGCCTTACAAAGGAACCCAGAAAGGCTCATGCGTTTGCCATCTAGTGGTCAGTTAGAGCAAATGCAGGCATTACTTGCTGTCCCTACCAGTTTTTGAATCTGAAATTGAAGCTAGTTCTCGATTTTTGTCTTAGGTTATCTGAAAAGGCCTATTCCTGTATTTAAAATTTTTGGCATTTTTTGAGAGATGACAGGTCTGGACACTTTAGTTCATACCTGCATGTCTCATGGTGGTCCTGAAAAATACTATCAGTGAAGTTGGACAAAAAAGCTACAAAACAGTATTTAGGAATGGAATTTATTTTTTACCTAGAAGAAAATGGTTTCTCCAGCATTTCTGAAAATATGGTAGCATGCAGAGGCTTTGCTCTCCCCTTGAAGATGAGGAAAACAAGATGACTTAGAAAACTTTGTGAATATTGTATAGCAGTTTCTATGGGCTGTGCCTTTACAGACAAAAACGTGTCCCCCCACAGAAAAGTGGGGGGCCTCTGGCATCTGAACCATCTGTTATTCTCCTTTCATCTTCACATTGCTGTACCTGGAAGAGTAATAGAAGTTTGTTTGGTTCTGTGATTACAGTTCGAACCATGCAATAACATAAATGATAGCATTTTTCCTTTTACAGAAGTGATGCTCGTGTTTGAAATCCACCCCATGGATGTCTGATTTGCCGAGGGACAACCTGAGCAGAATGTGCCCTGAAACTGCTGGTTACCTGTCCGTTTGTTGAATGATAAATTTAAGGGATTCAGGACAGGAGAAAGTCATTTAAGACTCATTGTTGGGAATATAAGTTAGTACTATTTTCTACTGAGCTGTTCAGTTGCTGGTTTTTACTATCTTTTGAAATTTTTTTTCCTTTAATTTCAGAAAATAAAGCAGTTGGAGTAATGAAGTCGGGCCATGTATTTACGATTGAGCCAATGATTTGTGAAGGTGAGGAAAATTGATACTTTAACATTCTTTAATTGTATTTTTACCTATTTCTGATTATTTATCAGATCAGAGGTCTGGTCTACCGCTTGCTTTTTGTGCTTCATTACCAATCCCTTTCCCGTCTCTAACTTGATTGAGTTTCATGTAGAGAACTTTAAATTTTTTAAGACTTGACGAGAAAATAATACTCATAGGAGGTATTTCTGCTGTTGGTAGATGCTGAAGTACTAGAATTCTGGTCCCTTTTTATAAAGATCCTGTCAAAGGGTACATTGTTGTCAAGAGTATCCCACATCATGCCTGTCTAGAACCTGATTGACAGGGAAGAGAATGAGGAGGAAGACACAAGTTAGACCATCTGCTGAACCGCCCACCCTGGGGCAGGTGTGGTTATGTGGTGGAATTCTCCATAGTAATGAGGTAGCCGTTTATCCCCATTAGACTCACACAGAGGCACAGACTGATCCTTGAAGGGGGTAAGCAGCTTGCCCAAGTCACCGACTGAGTTGTGTGGCAGAATTTTTCAGTCTCGACAGGTGACCCTTAACTCTTCAGGGTCTGCCCTCACATCGTCTCGTCGCATCCTGCTGTCGTGCAGAAAGCACGACAGAGACTCCTGTAGCCCTGGCAGCCTTTCTGTCCCAGCACCACTGTGGTTAGTCCTGTGTGATAGGCAGGTCACAGTGATAGCAGACTTGGCCTTGTGAGGTTGTCGGAGCCATCATGACAACGGGGCCGTGCTTTCTGCTCGTGCTTTCCTGGGGCTGGGACGCAGAATGAGCAGTGCCAGTAAGGCCTGTGTGTTCTGCACCTGTAGTGAAGGGTATCTCCTCTCCGGGTCCTCCCAGTGTTTTTGTGACTTACCCTCGGGAGTGACTTTCATAATCTCTGCCTGAGAAGTGAGTCACTGAATCCAGCCCACCTCCGAGGAGAGGAGGGCCTCACACAGGGCCTGAATACCAGGAAGTGGGATCTTTGGAAGTCGTTGTAGAGGCTCCCTTCTTAACCTGATTCTTTATTGCCCTTTTCTGTCAAATAAAAATTGAAAACCTTATCTTGTCAAGCAGCCCAGGACTGCTGTAAGAATTGAGATGATTTATATTTACATGCAATGCCTAGTGTACTTTAAAGGGATGCACAAATCAAATGTGAGGCAGTGCTTCTGTCATCCTTGTAGAATGAGAGTAAGGTTCTCGTGCAGCCAATTGTAAGATCAAGTAAGTGTATCAGCAGTGGAGGAAAGTGTGTTTTTGGCTATGAGAGTACTTCAGTTTTTTTATAATGTGCATTTTTCATAAACTTTTGGAAGACTGTGCATGGATTTCAAAATTTTGCACAAACTAAACTTACCTTTTAATTCAATTTTCCATGAATGTTTTGAAGGTCCTACATAGTTTCATTAACTGGCACCTGTTTGGTGAGCCATAGTGTGCTATTTCCAGTGGTGAACAAGTAAGTTTGTATGGAGCCAGCTCAGATAATCATCCAGTTACAGCAAGTAAGGGCTGGTATTGTGGCATAGCACGTAAAGCCACGGCCTGAGACACTGGCATCTCCGATCCAGCTCCCTGCTGATGGTCTGGGAAAAGCAGTGGAAGATGGCCCATGTACTTGGGCTCCTCCAACCCATGTGGGAGACCTAGATGAAGTTCTTGTCTCCTGGCTTTTAGCCTGACCTGGGGTTGGCTGTTGTGGTTAGGGAATGAACCAGCAAGTGGAAGATCTCTGTCTACTCTTCCTCTCTCTCTAACTCTGGCTTTCAAAATAAATAAATAAATCTTTAAAAAAAATAACAGATACTTTACTGTAACTTGTTAGGTTAAATCCCAGCCCTCGAATGCAAAGTCTCAAATCCAAAGAAGGTAGATATGTTTGACTTGACTATGTTAAAGAGCAGGATATATTTCAGAGCAGGATAAAGTCAGAGTGGCAAGTATGTCTTAAATCCAGTTATGTAAAGGTCATTACATTTAAAAACCAACTATTTACTCATCCTTAGTTGTTTAACAAAACATGAGCTAACTTTCTTTAAGCTGCTTCCTATTTTCTTCTTAGCTTGGAATTTAATATTGCAAAAGTAGGTTACTTCACTGCAGAGTTTGTGTTTGCAGTGTTTGGGGATTTGTGCATGTGAGTCATTGAGGTCTACACGTAATACGCTTCACCCGAAGAGTGCTCAAAGTGAAGAACATATTGAATTTTTTTTGACATTTAATTTTGCAACAAGAAAGTCTTTGTAAATACATATTTACCAGAATTACTTTTCTCATTCTACCTCAGATTCTTTTGGACCTCAGTTTTCTGCTCTCCCTTCCTTAAGCCTCCCCGACTCCCCGACTGCTGTCACTGTCTGCTAGCTACCTGCACTGACCCTTGCTTTCCTTTTCTGGTCTCAGTTCCTCTCCAGCCTCTCTGCCTCCTCATATTCTTACCATCTCGCCAGTCTCTTTCCTCTCTACACCTCTTTCTGGTTACAGCAGTGTGGTCTACAAACAATTTCACAGTATGATCCATTCCTGCTGCCTGGTGGTGTGCCTGGCATTTAAAAATCATAGCAGGAATTAAATGTAGTCATAATATAAAAATTCACATTATTTCCTTCACAGCATACACAGGCCATGCATGGTTTAGTCTGATGCCAAAGTTACACTAGGAAAGAGCTGACTGATTTCATTAATTCAGGTTACCACTAAGAGGCTATGATGAGTGATCAGTGTGTCTTCTAAAACGAGATGCAGTGTGTTTATTTTGGAAGTACCATCTTGATTTGGTCCTGGGAAACACAAAAACAGGTGAAGTTTCAGCACCCAAGAAAATGAAAATATCATGAGTTCCTTGGTACTAAAGTTGGAAAGGCTTGAGCTAAATTAGTTGAAGTAGCCGAAGGGATCTTAATAATGAATTTTCTAGTTGTTTTTGCTCCTTGATAAGGTACTTACCTTGACAGTTAATTTAGAAAAGTTTAAGTGTTCAAATTAAGGACTTTCTTCATTTGTTTTGTTTGTTTGTTGAAGGTGGGTGGCAGGATGAAACCTGGCCAGATGGTTGGACGGCGGTGACAAGAGACGGAAAGCGGTCTGCTCAGTTCGAGCACACGCTGCTGGTCACGGACACTGGCTGTGAGATCCTGACCCGGCGGCTCGACAGTGCGCGGCCTCACTTCATGTCCCAATTCTAGTTTCTCCTGCGATGAGAAGAGACGTCTCCATTTACCTTCTTACTGTACTGTGCATTTTGTTGAGAGTACAGAAGGAAGAGGAAATTTTTTATGACTAGTTTTGTTTTGATGATAGATAAGACTACAGCATTTGCTATGTGTCCTCAAGAACTTGTCTTGAGTTGGAACAGGCTGAGAAGAATAAAGGAAACCTTGCTCAACTCAGTCCCTGCCCCCATCTCTGCACACCTGTTTTCTCATTTGCCCTTTGAGCACTTTTACTTAAACCTGCTTCTAGTTGCTTTTGTCACTGCCGCAAACCAGCCGTAAGGAGCCAGCTGCTTTCCAGGTGACTGTTGAAGACGAGCATCCTTGGAACTTTAGCAGTTCTTTAGATTTATTTTGTATTATATATATATGGAAATATATATACATTTTGAATTCCATAGACATAGTTACGGAACACTATGTGACCTGGGGTTTGTGCCGATGCTGCTGACAGGGTTACTTGCTGTCGTCCATGGACCCGTCCTTAGCAGTGATCTGATTCCTTCTTGGGAAATGCCTCCCTCTCTCCTCTGCTAATTGTTTCCCCGCGTAATTGTGCATAGGGAAGCACTCACTCAACGTGACCATCTCACCAGTGTGTACTGTACATGAATGTGGGAAAAGTCACTTTGGAAGAAGGTGTATCAGGTTTTTTTGAGTCTAGTTTATGGCAGAAACGGCCATGTGGCTGCACGACACGAGGATTTTGTAATACACTGCTATTTCTGACCTCAGTTTTGTCAGAAATGGGAGGGAAAAGCCCTCTTCCCCTCTGTTTGATTTCAGAGGTATGCCTTGGAGATACTGCGAGGAGGGGGGAGGTCGCACTGTGGAGGATGCTGGGGAGAGAGTTCTGACCTCTCTCCAGCTGTGAGCACAGTGAGTCAGCTGAGCTCTTCGACTCTAACCTTTAGTGAACCTGGTAGGGGTGGAAAAGGAATGTCTCTGCGTACTGTAACCTTGCAGTAGGGATGCAGCGTCTTCGGTGTGCTAAAAACACACCTCACCTTTGCGTAGTTAGGAACCTCATTTAGAAAGGACCCCAGCTGCCCAATATCTATGTTCCTTTCCACAGTTGTCCACATAGGATTGTATGTAGTGAACATACCAGATCATAAAGTCATTGTCATTACAGTGTACTTTATTACTGGGTCTCTGATGACTGTCTTGTAATATAATTTGATACCACTGACACATTATACTTGTAAGAGAACATCTTTCCCAGAGTGCCTCAGACCTTATTGCTTTAAAGAATTATGATAATGTTTTCATTACTTTTATTATTTTAATGATTTAGTAAAGTGACTGAATCTGGTAGACTCTTGGGGGTATGTGCGTGATGTTTTTATCAAACTGTACTATTTGTGAATGGACTGCCTTGCAATATGAATGTTAATGTAATGTGTAAAGGGAGATTAAAGAGTTTGACTGATTATCCCACAGTGCAGTCATCAGCTTTGCCGCGTTTGTTATGGGCTTCAGAGGGAAGGGTGGGGGTAGGCAGGCCGACTGCATCATCTGAAACCAGCTCTGCCAGGATGGTGCACCCAGTCACTGCCTAGCGTTCCAGAGATGGACGGGAACTGACAGTGCTTGGCTTTCCGCACACACCCTGCGTGCTGCTGCCCCTCACCCATACTTCCACTTTTCTTTCCAATCTGAGAGTGGCTCAGCCAGGCATGATTGGCACGGGGATGGGGCATGAGTTTCCCTGACAATCCAGGCTTTGGAAAAGCCTGCTCCTGAGTAGTCACTCACAGGCACAAAGACTTACTCCATTCGCCCTCCAGCTTTGACCTGCACCCCACAACGCCTCCATAAGAGGAAGCAGGCCTCCTCTGGGTGGACATAGTAGGGCCCATGCAGTGGTCTGAGATGGTCCTGAAGAGAGCCAGGTGTTCAGGAAGCTGGCTCTTGTGCTTCTCAGCTACTCTGACATTTCTTGGGCCCAAAACATCCCTGGAGATGAGAGGGTGTGGCCTCACCTTCTGTAGGGCTTGGAGCAGGTCACCTTGGCAGGTGCATGACTTCTGGGATAACTCTTCATAGGTTCCTTTAGTCCCCATGGTCTGTTTCTCTTTCTGCTCAGCCTTTTCCAGCTGGGACTTCAGATTTGTTTATCTTTAGGGAGGGACAACGTCACTGTCAAAGCTGTAGCTCGCAGTCAGAGGTGCCCTATTGTGATCATAGGAAATGGGCAGGAACTGGGCTGTCTTCTCTGAAAGGACCTCTCGAGGGGTCTGTTCACGCTAAAATCTTAACCTCACTGTCGTAAAAGGGAGCGCTGTCTTTCCAGGCTCTTCTACACCCATCCATCCATCCATCCATCCGTGTTCTCCCTTTTAGTTAGCGTCTATACCAAATAGAAGCAGTGTTGGGAGTGCTGGATCACAATACAGCAAACCCCTCTTACTGACTCTGCACTCTGACACAATTTAGAATCCTGGGGTGGGCATTTGGTGTAACAGTTAAGTACTGGTTGGGTTGCCCACATGGCATGTCGGATGCCTGGATTCAAGTGTCATCGTCTGAAACAAGCTCATGAGTGAAGACCCTTTTTCGGGGTATGGCTGCACAATAGTTGTGGTACTGTGCTGAATTCAGCAGTCTGGCGGCAGCGTGCGAGGACAGCTGAGTTTTGAGAGCTTTAAAGGCAGAGGATGCTGAGTATTTAGGGGAGCGTTTTATGAACTGAAGTGATGTTAACAGAACTTTTTCAGTGTCTGCTTTAGAAAATAAGCTCAAGAAAAAAACCTGGATAATTTTTTTCGTGAAAAGAAAAATCACCACACTGGTGAATAATGCCATTTATTAGGCTTAGGTGACAAAGCATCTAGTTTCAGCATTCCACTTTTAAAAAAATTATTCCTTTTTTTACATTAACTTTTTTTTAAAAAATTATTTATTTGAAAGGCAGAATTACAGAGAGGCAGAGAGGTCTTTTATCCACTGGTTCACTCCCCAGTTGTCTGCAAAGGCCAGAGCTGCACTGGTCTGAAGCCGGGAGCCAGGAGCTTCTTCTGGGTCTCCTAGGCACGTGTAGAGGCCCAGGAACTAGGGCCATCTTCTACTGCTTTCCCAGGCCATAGCAGAGAGCTGGATCGGAAGTGGAGCAGTTGGGACTTGAACCTGTGCCCAGATGGGATGCCAGTGACTCAGGCAGCAGCTTTACCCCCAATGCCACAGTGCCAGCCTCTACATTAGCTTTTTTTGTTTTGTTTTGTTTTGTTTTGACAGGCAGAGTTAGTGAGAGAGAGACAGAGGGAGAAAGGTCTTCCTTCTGTTGGCTCACCCCCCAAATGGCTGCTATGGCCAGCTCACTGTGTCAATCCGAAGGCAGGAGCCAGGTGCTTCTCCTGGTCTCCCATGGGGTGCAGGGCCCAAGCACTTGGGCCATCCTCCACTGCCTTCCCTGGCCACAGCAGAGAGCTGGCCTGGAAGAGGGGCAACCGGGACAGAATCTGGCGCCCCCACCGGGACTAGAACCTGGTGTGCCAGCGCCGCAAGGCGGAGGATTAGCCTAGTGAGCCGCCGCGCCGGCCCTTACATTAGCTTCTAAAACAATTTTTAGTCATTTTCAGAAGGAGACACATAAGCATGCATGTGACACTTGTGCATGCGTGCACACACACACACACACACACGTTTTCCATCAACTTGTTCACTTTCCAAATGCCTGCAACAGCCATGGCTGGGCCAGGCTAGGGCCAGGTTGAATCTAAGAGCCTGGTACTCAGTCTGAGTTTTCCATGTTGGGTGACGGAGGCCCACACTCCTCATAGAGTGTGCATTAGCAGAAAAGTGTTAGTAGAAAGTTGGAATGGAGAGTGGAGCTGGGACACAAAACAGGTACTCTGAGATGGGATGCAGGTACTGCTTGGCATCCCAAGGTGGCGTCTTAGCTGCTGAGCCAAATGCCTTCCCTCTATGTTAACTTTTTTTTTTTTTTTTGTAAAAGATTTATTTCTTTGAAAGGCAGTTAGAGAACAAGTGAGTAAACTTCGATCTATCCACTGGCTCACTTCCCAGATGGCCACAGCAGCCAGGGCTGGGCCAGGCCAAGCTTGGGAGCCTGGAGCTCCATCTGGGTCTCCCATGTTGGTGCAGAGGCCCAAGCATCTGGGCCGCCGTTCGCTCTTTTCCTAGGTGCACTAGCAGAGAGCTGGATTGGAATTGGAGAGCAGGGACTCACATGGGATGCTGGCATCCCAGGTAGCAGCTGAACCCACTATGCCACAGTGCCAGCCCTGTGTTGATGGCCCCTACGTTAACTTTCACTAACAGTCCTCCCACAACTGTGGAATTACAATTTAGAAGAAGAAAAGTGTGTTTGCTTTTTATCTTCAACTGTTCACTTTGCCACCATTGCATTCTCTGCAAGTATTTTTCTTTTGAAAGAACTGGCAGCACACTTCACCCATTACACTTCAGTGTGTTTCTTAAAACATAAGGATAGGGGCTGGCTGTGTGGTGTAGTGGGTAGAGCTGTGGCCTGCGACACTGACATTCCATATGGGCACTGGTTTGAGTTCTGGCTACTCTTGCTAATGTGCCTGGGAAACCAGCAGAGGGTAGCCCAAGTGCTTGGGCCCCTGCACCCACGTGGGCGACCTGGAAGAAGCTCCTGGCTCCTAGCTTTGGATCAGCCCAACTCTGGCTGTTGCAACCATTTGTGGAGTCAACAAGTGGATGGGAGATCTTTCTGTCTCCCATCCCCTTCCTTTCAAGTAAATAAATCTTAAAAATCTCCCACATGATTACAATATAGTTTCATGCCCAAGACATTTAACATCAATACAGAGTTAAGTAATTATACAAATTCAGACTTTCTCAATTTCCCCCAAAATGTTTATTTGTTAAAGGTTTTCTTTATTTTCAAATCCAGGATCCAAATCAATGGCATTTCATTGATGTGTAATCTTTATTCTAGAAACCCCTTTTGACATTTTAATAACTGTATTATAATCAAGCCAGTTAGATCTATATCACTGGCATGATGTATGGTCTATTCATTGCATCACTTAAGGAGGCAAGTAATATTTTCAAATTGCTGCTGATGCTAAGATTGATCACTTGGTGTCTGGAATGTCTTTTCATTATAAACATCTTCTTAAGTAATCTGGAGGAGACATTTGGAGACCATTGTGACACACTGTTTACTCAAGGTTTTAGTATTCATTGAGAATTGCCTAAAACCATCATTTTTTTACATCAGTGACTGCAGGTTGGCATGTTCCGAGTCAGGCGCTCTACACATTTCTTAGCTGATCCTTTTCTACAAAGAAGTACTTCATTTATTACCCAGTTATTTTGAGTGTCCGTGAGTATGAGCTCATGGATTATTTTTCAAAATTCTGTTTAATTATCATAGCTGTTTTGTATCTGACTAGTTGGGTGCGTCTTTAAGCTTGTTCTTGGCTCATTTGAACCACCATCCTGTGTACTTCCTACCACAGCAAGATTGTCTCAATTTCTTTCCCCAGACTCAGAATTTGCTATTTCTCCAGGAGTCTTGATTTATTTTTATGGAAAATGGTATTTTGAATCTTTCAGGGAGCAAATGCATCTTTTTAAATAAATTGGATTCACTTATATATGTTCACTTTCAATCTAACAGGAACTCTTCATCATCCTTTCCTGTCTTTTATTGATATTTTCCTTCTCCCTCTCTGAGAACGTTGGTTTTAACCATTGTTAATATTTACTTACTGGTTTGAGCCTCCCAGACATGTGAACTCATTTCAGGATTACTGCACCAAAGTGAATCCCAATAATAGCTACAAAGTTTGATTCTTTCAATTCACAGGACATAACATTTGAAGTCATTTTTGTCTGCTTTTCATTCTAAATTTCATAAACTGAGCTACATTTTCAGCAGTGAATGCAGAGAATCTTGCGAGGGTATTAGTGTTTCTTGAGTTAAAATACTGAGAGAACCTGAGGTGGTGTGAAAGATTCTGACCAGACGTGGTGTTTCACTTCTACGGAGCTCTCTGGCTGCCGAAGAACATCATACCACTTACGATATGGTTCGTTTTCCAGCTCTATAGAATACTATACAGCAGTCAAAAACAATGAAACCCGGTCATTTGCAACAAGATGGAGGAATTTGGAAAACATCATGCTGAGTGAATTAAGCCAGTCCCAAAGGGACAAATATCATATGTTCTCCCTGATCGATGACAACTAACTGAGCACCAAAGGGGAAACTTGTTGAAATGAAATGGACACTATGAGAAACAGGGACTTGATCAGCTCTTGTCCTGACGGTTGATGTACAATGTAATACTTTATCCAGCTCCTTTCTATTAGAAAATGACATCTGAACATCTATGTTCTAGGAACAAGTTGCTTCATAATATAGGTTACATAAAGTTTTAGGCTAAAACTAATAAAAGTTTTTAATTTTATGTGGTCTTTTCATTTGTTTTAAAAATGAACCCTCAGGGAAAGATGAGCTTAGCTAGCACAGGATCTGCACATAGAGATTTTTGGCCCTGTTGTGTCTGAAATCCGAGGGTAGGCGGCCTCCTGGTGGCTGCTGCTCAGAGCTTTGTGACAGCCTCCTCATGTGTCTTCTTTTTGGTGCTCAATAGGAAAAACAGAACAATAGTGTCTACATTGAGTAGTTTGCAAGAGACAGCGGGAATACAGTGGCTGTGGTTGCATGTTCTGCTCTTCCATTTCCGAGGGTCAGGGTGAGCAATAGAACTGCCTGTATATGGCGATTCTGTGGTTATTTTAAAGTGTCAACATCGGTATGTTAGTTTACAAAAAGGTGCCAGAAAGTCAGTATGTAGAACACTCAGGAAAGGATTTCTGTAAGTATTTTCACTTCCCACTAATGCGTTTGTTAGTAGTTCAGAATATTTTAATGAATTTTCTCAGGAAATTGCTCTGAAGTCCAGCCTTTTTGCTACTGTAAAGGCTTTTAGTGATGAGTCCCATCTCTTGGGGAAGGAGATTCTCAGCCTTATCACTGTAACTCCAGCCTCCTCATCCCACTCCCAACAATGAACTCACACCAAGAATAAGCATCTTCCATAGTTGCAAGCACATTTGCACTGTGGTGTCTTGAGCACAAGACCAACTATCAGGACACCAGGCTTCTGATTTCTACAATTTTTTTTTTTTTAAACCAGATTGAGTGGTTAGGAGGACAGATCACCCACTTACCTGTGATCTGTGACAACCTAGCAATGTTTTATTCCGTATTTAATGTGACTCTAGTGCAAGTTTGCTTACCACACAACTGAAGCTAGATGTTTTTAAAAACTTAAATCACCAAAGTTGAGCTTTGGGTGATTGCTGAGAAAAGAGCCAAAGTTGAAAACATTTAGTATTGCAATGTAGATTAGAGAAAGACTTCAATGTATTTTAAGATTTATTTATTTATTTATTTGAAATGCAGAATTACAGAGAGGCAGAGGCAGAGTGAAAGAGGGAAGTCTTCTATCTGCTGTTTCACTCCCCAGATGGCCACAAAGGCCAGAGCTGTGCCAATCCCAAACGCAGGAGTCAGGAGTTTCCCTTGAGTCTCCCATGTGGGTGCAGGGGCCCAAGGACTTGGGCCATCTTCTGCTTTCCCAGGCCATAGCAGAGAGCTGGATCGGAAGTGGAGCAGCCGGGACTTAAACTGGTGCCCATGTGGGATGCTGGCACTGCAGGCAGCGCCACGGTACCAGCCTCTTCAATGTATTTTAATGTATGTTTCTGACATTTGGTTTGTTCAAAACATCCCGATGCTTTGGCAGTCAAGCGTATTTCAGTGCATGTAAACTGGCCTTGAGTCTGGTGGATTTTTCATCCCTTTCTTGAAAGGAGCGTGTGCACATTTACCTCCTACAGCAGGAATCCCGTTAGTGTCCTGTCTGATACAAAACAATCTGTGAGATCCCAGGCTGCTGTTTTTGTTCCCCTAAAAGTCCACCAAAGGGTATCTTGTGTAATGGAGGACTTTGTACGTTCTTGTTGGTTCTGTAGTTTACAGACACAGTTCACTTGGAATAGTTCTATTAATTTATTATCTATATAGCTATCTAAATTTCCTTCATAAAATGTTTTCTTAAATGTGTTTGCAGCATACTTTTTCAAAAAGCTATTTATTTGATGACAACACCTGATTTTGCATGTTAATTAAAACAAAATTGACTCCAAACTTGGCTGTTTTCCCTGGGTCAGCAAAGTGTCTTTAGAACCCACAGAACAGTGAGTTCCTTTAGGACTTTGTTCATCAGCCTCCTTGGCAGCTTGTCAGCTAAGCGGAGAAAGTTCTGAAGCATTCTGTGAATGGACAATGTTTCTGCTTCTCCAGATTCATACTTTGAGAATGACCAGGTAATAATAATTTTGCTTTCAAATAGGATAAATCCAGCTACCACTATGTGTATTTTTGGAGCCATTTATGTTTGGGATAAATTGTGCACAACATTAATGGACTCTACAATAGAATTTTGGACATAATGTAATTTTTTCTTCATCTCCTTCCAAAATGACCCAATTGCCCATACGTTGTACTTTGTATGTTCCTCTGCTTGTAATACAACTTGTTCAGTCAGACATGCCTGACTGTGGACTTTCTCAAGTGCATATGACCAGGTAGGTTAAATAGAAGGCAGAACAGTCCAACATGCTAAAACTAGAAAAGCAAGAAAGATTTATTAAAAGTGTTAAAGCATAGGAAAAATTTCCTGTTACAAATCATAAAGATGCTTAGAAAATTCTAAATGTTTCAAAATGTAAGATCCTTTAAAAAGTCCATTTTACTAATAGGCACAAAATGTATGATGCAAGTTAATACTCACTGTTAAAATTATTAAAGATTTATTTCCACGAGTTAGATCTTCCATCTGCTGGTTCACTCCCCAGATGGCCTCAACAGCCAGGAGCCAGAAGCTTCTTCTAGGTCTTCAGTGTTGGTGCAGGGCCCACGCACTTGGGCCATCTTTCGCTGCTTTCTCAGGCCATTAGCAGGGAGCTGGATCGGAAGTGGAGCAGCCAGGGCTCTAACTGGTGCCTATGTGGGATGCTGGCATCACAAGTGGCAGCTTTACCTGCTGTGCCGTAACACCAGCCCCTAAAATGATCTTTTAAGAGAGCAGTTTAAGCAATTTCAAAAGTCCAAACGCTCCTTCCAAGGTGACAGAATAATCTTGGGTGTACATACATGTAGTGAATGGTTTTCAGCCTTTGCTTATTTGTTCTAAAAACCAGGTGGTTTAGCAGTAGATGCAGCATCTTAGATCCAAGATGTAGTCAAAGAATCTTAAAAAGACTACGCCTATTGGTGGACTATTAGGTCCATGACCCAAGAGTCCTTATGTATTCAGATTCTTGTAAAATTGGTTCTTTATACTGGATCTCTGGGACAGTTGTTCTTTGAGCCAGGAAATGCTAATACTTGTTAAACCTGCCAGGTCAGGGATATGTGCTGTGATGGAAATACTAATCGTCTGGTCAGAACTTGAGTAACATTATACTGCTTTGCTTTTTGTAGTGGTGGATGCAAAGTTTGTCCTGCATGTTCATGCATGTATATCTGCAGTATGCAGAAGAAAAATAAAGGGGGAAAAAAGTCTAAGCCATTAACTCTCCTCAACTACTCTCTGTCACTGCTTTGTACTGCAGTTACCTAAGCAGTATACTTTCGTTCCTAGAAGGCTGAGCTAAACTTAGCCGGGTAAAAAGCATGGTTCTTGGTGGCGCCGCGGCTCACTAGGCTAATCCTCCGCCTGCGGCGCTGGCACCCCTGGTTCTAGTCCCAGTTGGGGCGCCGGATTCTGTCCCAGTTGCTCCTCTTCCAGACCAGCTCTCTGCTGGTCTGGGGAAGGCAGTGGATGGCCCTGGTCCTTGGGCCCCTGCACCTGCATGGGAGACCAGGAGGAAGCACCTGGCTCCTGGCTTCGGATTGGCTCAGCGCACTGGCCGTAGTGGCCACTTGGTGAGGTGAACCAGCGGAAGGAAGACCTTTCTCTCTAACTCTGCCTGTCAAACAAAACAAAACAAAACAAAACAAAACAAAACAAAACAAAACATGGTTCTTGCAGTTGGGCTAGAAGCTAGTTTTACCTTGTTCTTCCTTCCATTTTACCTGGGTCAGTGGCTGGGGCTACTGAAGCCCATAGTTTGTCTCCAGCCCTCTCAGCAAAAATTGGAGAGAAGCTGAGCCACTCTGCCTGGGAGCTGCAAATGCACCAAAGAGCCATCAGAGGAAACGGCTTGCTCTAGGGAACATTTAAACTATTAATTGAAAGTACAGAAAAAAATATTTAAAAGGCTTCAATCTAACCAGAAGACACGTGCATGGCAGATCTCTTGTGCCAAAAAAAAAAAAAAAAAAAAGAATTACACTGTCATGTGGGGAAAATCAAAGGCAAAGAACATTGTTAATAATATTCCTTTTAGGGGCAGGTGTTTGGCATGGTAGTTTAGATGCTTTTTGGGATGTGGGCATCCCAAGTCAGAGTGCATGGTTTGAGTCCCTGCTATTCTGTTTCTGATCCAGCTGCCTGGTAATGTGCACCTGGGAAGTAGCAGGTGATGGCTGACACTTGGGTCTCTTCCACCATACGGGAGGTCTGCATTGAGTTCTGGGTTTTTAGTTTCTGCCTTTGTCCAGTCCTACCTGTTGTGGGTACCTGGGGGTTGAACCAGTGGATAGATCTCTCTGCCTTTCAAATACAATGAAATAATAATAAAAATATTCCTTTTCATGTAACTTAAAGGAAATGTATAAATGCTATTCTGTACATGGACACTTCTGGGAAAATATAAACCTAACTGGTCACCTGTACTTTTTGTGTGTGTGGTGGAGGGGAGGAGTGTGTGTTTTTCATAATATTTCCTCCACTATCTGAATGTGACAGTGGATTAACAAGATCATAGGATAACATACCAGTTTTGGCTTCTTTTTACTTTTCAGACTAAAAGAACCACGTCACCATTTTCAGATTACTAGGTTTGACTAATAAAAGCCATTGGAAGGTCTCTCTGTCTTTCTGTAACTCTGCTTTTCAAATAAACAAATCCTCCCTCACCCCCAAAAGATACTCTTACAGAAGCTGACTTGGATGCTGATGAAATCTGCCAATGATGCCTTGGAAAAATCTGTGCTTTAGTAAAGGCCTTCAAAGTCCCCTGAGTGTTAACTGGGATTGGCAGCAGAGACTGAATGCTCAAAACCTCTCCTTTGCCCCGTGTCTTCCTCCTTTCCTGAACAGGATGCAAACTATGGGGAAAGGAAGCCTGAGAACAAATGGAGCCTGCAACAGAGATGACAACTTCCACACCAATGCAGAGATTAGTTTTATTTTGTTAGAAAATTGCTTAGTGAGCCAGCAACTGTACATGTGAAGGAGACCATGATTTGTGTGGCACAACACTGTTCCCTGGGGTACTAGTGAAGATGTAAGAGGTGTGAGCGTGGAGGATCTTTGTCCTGTGCATCAGGCTGCTCCCATCAGACAAGAAGGAAGGTACAGGATGGACTTGTTCTCCATGAGAATTTAAATCTTTACAACAGTTCGAATGCTGTAGGGGAAAAACGCAGTACACACAAACGGTTTTAATGATGCCTCATCTTCTGACACCACTAAAATTGTGCTATTTTTGACACCTGCTCCCCCATCAACCCCAAATCTTACTACATTCTACACTAATGCTTACCTCTTCCCTGAGTGCATCAGCTCAAAGGCTTCATTAATTTGGTCAAAAGACAGCGTGTTAGTGACAAATTCATCAACTTTTATCTTCTTGGACATATATTCAGACACCAACTTTGGGACACTTTCCACACTCTTCCATCCTGAAAGAAATCATCTAGTCATCTATTTGTTCAACAGATTTCTACTGTATACTTACTACTTAGAGGGTGAGAGGGTGACATTTAGGAGAATGGATTTTTTGATGCATTGAAGAGGACTGAAAAACTTCAAAATTAGTATCGAGTAGAGGAAGAATTCGACACAGACCTTTAGTCATGAAAGAAGTAAACACCTTAGAGTATTATTATATTTCTGCATGAAGATTTACTAAAATCTCATTAAGATTGGCCAGTTGAGACTTTTAAACTACCTAGGATAGAAATCTTAGCAACAAGTTTACTTAAGTCCACAACAGCAAAGATTTCTATACTCACAACATTTTAAGTCAGAAAAAGCTGATGGGATGCAAGACTTTATTTCTCTGATTTTATATTCAACAATAAAATAGATAGCATCTCGGAATACAAAAACATGAAATCAAGAAATAAAGTAGTAATTCTTCAGCTAAGTGAGATTTTAACAACATTAGATGCTTTAATTTCTTCCTTATCTTGAATGAATCAATAGATCAACAAAGAAGCCTCCCTACCTTTTATGAGTTCTTTGGACATTTCACATTTCCTTTAAGACGTTTTACTAGTTCCCTTCTTATATCCTCTGCCAAATTTAATTTTTTTCCACCTACAAATTCTAGGGATATTTTTCTTTCTCTGAAATCTGGTGACAGACAGCTAATGTCTCTGCTACTTTTTTTTCAGCCAGTGTGTGCTAGGATGGGACTTCGGTTACAGGCTATCACCAAGACCCCTGGCTCAGTCACTCAGGCATGGAGTGCTCTTTCTAATGCTCCCAGCAAGCATGTTTTGCAAATGTGCACTGAGATAACCCAGCTGTGGTGTACATCCAGGCTCTAGAAAGTAAAAAGCTTACAATGATGTTTTCTAATGCAAGATCTGTAGGGTAAAGAAGGAAAACTGGGGCTGGCGCCATGGCGCATCCCATATGGGCGCCAGTTCTAGTCCCGGCTGCTCCTCTTCCAATCCAGCTCTCTGCTGTGGCCTGGGAAAACAGTACAAGATAGCCCAAGTCCTTGGGCCCCTGCACCCGCATCAGAGACCAGGAAGAAGTACTTGGCTCCTGGCTTTGGATTGGCCAGCTCTGGCCATTGTGGCCATTTGGGGAGTGAACCAACAGAAGGAAGACCTTTCTCTCTGTCTCTCCCTCTCACTGTCTGTAACTCTACCTCTCAAATAAATGAATAAAAACCTTAAAAAAAAAGAAGGAAAACTGGTCAAACTACTCATTTAAGCACGTTTTCCCAGTCTTTTTTTCTTTCAAAAGAAGTGGCATTAATAGGAGGTAGGGGAGCTAATTACAGACATCTTGTTGCACCTGGATCATTCAAAACCCATGTTGAGTTTTCTTTCTTAAGAAGACAGTGAGATATAAGTGTATTGTTAAGCAGCCTATAAAAACTTTAGATGTTGGGAAATATAAAACATTTCGATGTCTTTTGTCTTCCCTCACTGAGCAGCCACAAAAAGGTAGAAACTGTTTCCCAGCATTCTGCTGGCAGTTCAAATACATGAGGGCTTTTTAGGATCACACAATTGAAAAATGGTAAATCTGGAAGCTACTCAATTTTGTTGGAAGCTTTTGTCTAGTTTAATATTTTCAGGTTGAGGCTGACTTGGTGGTGTAGTAGGTCAAGCATCTGGCTGTGGCACTGGCATCCCATATGGGCGACAGTTTGAATCCTGGCTGTTCCATTTCTGATCCAGCTCCCTGCTGATGGCCTGGGAAAACAGTAGAAGAAGACCCAAGTCCTGGGGTCCCTGTACCCAGGTGGGAGACCCAGAAGAAGCTCCTGCTTCCTGGTTTTGGGTCAGCTCGGATCTGGCCGTTGCAGCCATTAGGGGAGTGAACCAGTGGATGGAAGACTTCTCTGTCTCTCCTTGTCTTTCTGTCTTTCCCCTAGCCTGTAACTATGCCTCTCAAGTAAATAAATAAATCTTTAAAAAAATATAAAAAACTATACTTTCAGCTTCAGACACAGTATTGATTGCTGCTGAAATTGGGAGTATTCAGACAGAGACATGTTCACACCCAGGGATCACTGCACTCTGGACAGATGAGTAAAAATAGGACAACCTATTTAAGTTCATGGTATCAACAACAGGGTGGCTGACACTGCTGCTGGCTGACCCTACAGTTTCTCCCCCTGCCCACCCTCCAACTGCTTCCTCATTACTAGATTTTTTTTAAAAAAAGATTAACTTATTTATTTGCAAGGAAGACTTAGAAAGAGGAAAAGACAGATATTTCATCTGCTGGTTCACTCCCCAAATGCCTGAAACAGCCAGAGTTGAGCGAAGCCAAAACCAGGAGTCAGAAACTCAATTTGAGTCTCCTGTGTTGGCGGCAGGGGCCCAAGCACTTGGGCCATCTGCTGCTGCTTTCCCAACCATTAGCAGGGAGCTGGATTGGAAGCGGAGCAGCTGGGACTTGTATTGGAGCTCATGGGATGCTGGCACTGCAGGAGGTGGCTTAACCTTCTGTGCCACAATGCTGGCCCCTGAACTTTTTTTTCTTTTTTTTCAAAGGCTGTGTAACAACTGTCCAGGGGCTTCAGAAGAAGCTGAGCCCCTGCCCAGTCCAGGGATAAATACTGACTTTCAAACCCTATTATTAAAATATCCTTGTAACAACTTAGGAATGAGAAGGAGGTAGCCTGGGCTCAAAAATCCAATGAAAATATCAAGAGAAAATGTACTCATCTTATCATGGAATTACCTCCAAAGGCAGTGCCTTTCCATGTGCGGCCTGTCACCAGCTGGAATGGACGAGTGGAAATTTCTTCACCTGCACCAGCTACTCCAACCACCACGCTGACGCCCCAGCCTTTGTGGCACGCCTCAAGTGCTGCTCTCTGAAGGAACAGAGATACAACCAAAACACTGAAGTCAGTACATTTGCTGAGAATAACTTCCTCCCCAGAAACTTCCAGTCGGAAAGGAGGTGGTGGTGGCATAAAGCTTTTATTTAAAAAATCGCAACAGAACATCCAAATTTAATGTTTAATTTTTTTCAACAGTTATATTTTTAAAATTATTAACCTGGATAAATATCAATACAAGTTGAAAGAACTTCAGCTTTTATTTGCTTTCTGTTATTAAAAAAAGTAAATCCTCACCTGAAATTCCATTGCCTTTAACACCTTTATGGAGTGCCCACTTCGTGTCAAGGAGCTGTCACTACTGACATTATATAGATGAGGAAACTGAGCCTTAGAGGAATGGAAAGCTGTTTGTTCAAGCCACAGAGTTAGCAAGTGGATGTGTACCTAATCTGAAAGCCAATGCTCTCTACAACTGCATTATTCTGTCTTTTCATTTAATAAATTATGAGACATATACACTTAGTGTGCATCAGAAGGAATAGATTTTTTCATCTTTCCCTGAGATGATGTATCCCCATCCCATTTATAGCTCAGTTTTTTTCCTCTTCTTCTATCAGAATAATTCTTATGAAAAGAAATTTTTTCCTTTGCAAAAACAAAACAATTTTTCATCTTAAAGAAACCACATTAAAAAAAAGCAGGTCCACCAACCAAATTGAAAGGAAGCCAAGCACACTCACCATGACCTTCACATTGCCAATACACTCAAAGGAATAGTCCACTCCTCCGTCGGTCTTCTCAACGAGTACTTCCTGGATGGGTTTACTGAAGTCTTGAGGGTTAATACACTCAGTGGCACCAAACTCTTTGGCCCTTGCAAACTTATCTTTATTGATGTCCACGGCAATGATCCGGGATGCACCAGCCGCTTTACAGCCCATGATGGCTGCCAATCCAACTCCTCCCAGGCCAAAGACAGCACAAGTGGAGCCAGGCTCCACCTAAATATGAAGACAGTCAATAAACCACTCATTGCAGAAGAGTAAAGCAGATCACTAGGTTTCTACAGATCAGGTCAATGTCACTGTTGCAGCAACGCTTTGCTGAACTGAATTAGAAGGTATAAACTGAACCCCAGGCTGCTCTCTTACCTTGGCAGTGTTTAATGCAGCACCATAACCAGTAGAAATGCCACAACCCAGAAGGCAGACTTTATCCAAAGGCGCTGAAGGGTCTATTTTAGCAACAGAGATATCAGCCACAACCGTGTATTCAGAAAATGTGCTGGTTCCCATGTAATGCAAAATTGTCTTTCCTTTGCAAGTAAATCTGCTAGTACCATCTGGCATTAAGCCTTTTCCTTGAGTGACTCTATGCAAACAAAAAAGGAAAATGACAGGGTAGACTCAGGTTTCATCCAAAAGAAATCAGCATATGAAAGAGTTATCTGTACCCCATGTTCACTAAAGCACAATTCACAATAGCTAAGATATGTAATCCATCCAGATGTCCATCACCTGTTGACTGGATAAAGAAATTATGGTATATATACACTATGGAGTACAACTCAGCTGTAAAAAAAAAATGAAATCCTGTCTTTTGCAACAAGATGGATGCAATTGGAAACCATTACACTTAGTGAAATAAGCCCATCCCAAAAAGATATATGTTTTCCCTGATCCAAGGTAACTAAAATGTAATGTACTGGAGTGAAATGGACATTTTGAGATTCAATGATTGTTTACAGACCTTGTGTCTTCCATTAAGGAACAGTATTTTTTCCTTCATACTGTTTGTTCAATTTTTTTACTTAATGTAGGGTAAACTTTATGATCATTAAGTAAACTGAAAATAGATTTTTGTAAAAATTAAGAGTGGGATTTGGGGAGGGAGGAGGAAGAAAGATTGGAGGGTAGGCAGGAGGCATGGTAGGGTGGGAAGTATCACTATATTCCTAAATCTGTATATATGAAATACATGAAATTTGTTTAACTTAAATGAAATAAAAAAAAAGGAATCAGGTTTCTTAAGTCACAGAAGAAATAAATCAGTTTTTAAAATAATGACCAGTAAAGTGTAATAAGACCAAAAGTATATTTCTTATTATTAATAATTTAGCACCTTTCAGCATTGCCTTTTCAGCAAAACTTATAAGAAGTTTTCCAATATTCAACAGTTTTCTAGAATTGAATACCAAACTTGTTTTAAATAGAGGTAAAACATTAGGATCGGAAAATGTAAGATTCCATCATAAAACTCTGTGAGCAAATAACTTTATAAAGGATAAAGCCAAAACCAGCAGTTACACAAGCAGATCCTCCATCCACTGGCTCACTACTCAAATGTTTTCAAAGGCTGGGACTGAACCAAGTCAAAGCCAGGAGCCAGGAACTCAATCTGGTCTCCCAAGTGGGTAGCAGAGACCTGAGAACCTGAGGGATTATCTGCTGCTCTGGAATCGGAAACAGAGCCAGGACTCAAACCCTTGCACTCTGACAAAGAAAGTGTGTATCTCAAAAGCAGAATCTTAACCAAATGGTCACTCCTAGAGGAATTTCTTTTCCTTTTCTTTTTAAAAAAAGATTTATATATTTATTTGAAAGAGTTAGAGAAAGAGATCTTCCTTCCACTGGTTCACTTCCCAAATGGCCTCAACTGCCAGGATTGGGCTAAGTCAAAGCCAGGAGCTTCTTCTTTTTTTGACAAGCAGAGTTAGATAGTGAGAGAGAGAGAGAGAGAGAGAGAGACAGAAAGGTCTTCCTTTTTCCGTTGGTTTACCCCCCAAGTGGCCACTATGGCTGGCACACTGCGCTGATCTGAAGCCAGGAGCCAGGTGCTTCCTCCTGGTCTCCCATGTGGGTGCAGGGCCCAAGCACCTGGGCCATCCTCCACTGCCTTCCCGGGCCACAGCAGAGAGCTGGACTGGAAGAAGAGCAACCGGGACTAGAAACGGGGGTGCCAGCAACCGCAGGCGGAGGATTAGCCCAGTGAGCTGTGGCGCTGGCCAAAGCCAAGAGCTTCTTCTGGGTCTTCTGTGCAGGTGCAAGAAGCCCAAATACTTGGGCCATCCTCTGCTGCTTTTCCCAGGTCATTAGCAGGGAGCTAGATAAGAAGTGGAGCAGCTGGACCTCAAACCAGCACCCATATGGGATGCTGGCTCTACCTGCTGTGCCACAATGCTGGCCCCAGAGGAGTTTCTTGAATAAAAGGTGACATAGGATACAATATAGGCCTCGGGAGAATTTCTTCCTCTGAAAAGTTACAGCCACAAAAAGCCCATCACCATTATTATACCTGACATGCCACAAAATTTTTAAGACTGTACTTGAAATTCCTTGTCAAAACAGTCAGATATTTTTTGGCTCAAACTTTATGAAAATTAACTGGGTTAATAAATGGAATCTTCCTTTACAAAAATCTAAGCTAATTTTGTCAACATTATTAGAAAACAAATGCAAGAACAGATCTGTCCTACAGCGCTGGCAAGAGTGTAAACTGCTTACTGTCACGTTGGAGAGTTCTAGATGCACATCCTGTAACTTGGCCAACTCCTACCCCAGGAAAAAAAAAAACAAAACAAAGTACAGCACACACCCATCAAAAGATATGTGGAAGAATACTCTGAGCAGCAGTAACCATAACAGCCCCATGCTGGGAGCAGCCTAAATGTTGATCAACAGGAAAATGGATCAACAGTGGCATTTGGAATGCAACTACCACAGAGCAACAGAAATGAACCTCTGATGCACATAGCAACTTGGCTATATTGCACAGACATTGTGAATGACAGAAACCAGACAAAAGAGCACACAACTGCAAGATTCTGGTCATGCAACAGTTTACAGTAGAGGAAATCACAACTGTGGTAACCTTTCCAGGGAGGCAGATGTTGCCTTGGAATGGGCACAAGGGACTTTGTGGGGTGTTGGTAGGGCTCCCTCTCTTAATCTGGTGAGGGCTCTAACCAGCAGGTGTGTTTAAACATTCATTAAGTTGTACATTTAAGATCTGAATGCCATAAATATTTTATTAAATGTATTATGTTCTACCTTAATAAAGAAACAAAAGAAGGGAACAAACAGTAGTAGTTCATTTTTGATGGTATGTCACAACTGCATCGCAAATACCACTTTTATCCATACTCCTACTGATGTTTAGGTTGCTCCTAAATTTAAGACTGCCTCAAAGAAGCAGTTATTCAAGTGTTGCTATGGTAGTACAATAGATTAACTATCTTTTCTGTGTCAAGGGGTTTCGTTACCTCTTACAGTCTCCCCAGGTATTAACATTATGAGCGTTATGAGGTAAGTTTTACTACTTTGATTTAATGGACAATAAAATGGCTCATAAAAATGACTTTGCTTAATCTCACAAGCATGTCCTTCTTTACTACACATTCTGGAAAACTTGGCTGAGTGTTATTGAAAGAGGAGCTATCCAGAAACTTGTTTTATATCTTGATAGCTGGTAGTCCTGGGCAAACCCCTGATTTTCTGAGTCTTTATTTTCTCATCTATGAAAATGAGCAATTCCAGTACCAGTGATGGTGGTATCATTTTAAAGCTGAAGTGAGAGGTGGTCATTTGGCCCAGTGGTTAAGAGGTTATTTGGAACGCCAGCATCCCGTCAGAGTGCCTGGGTCCCGATTTCAGCTTTCTGGTAATGAGCACTCTGGGATGGCTCAAGTAGTTGGTTTCTTGCCACCCACAAGGAAGACCTGTACTGAGCCCCCGACTCTCAGCTTCAGCCTGGCCCAGCCCTAGCTACTGAGCATCTGGGGAGTAAACCAGCGGATGGGAGCTCTATCTCTGTCTCTCCATCTAGCAAATAAATAAAACACTCTAGCAGCAGAAATGAAATAATGTATGTAAAATGCATGTTATAAATTGCCACACTATTTCTTACCATTGTTAATATGACCTCTTATTTTAAGAATAAAATAGAAATATACTAACCTTATTTTCTGGCAAAGATTTGTTTTAGGATTAAGACAAAACTTGCACTCTCCACACTGTGGGATGTAAAGTGGGATGACAGTATCACCTGGGAAACAAATGCGAAGACATTATCTAGAAGAGGTAGCATCTGTTTCTAAGTGGATACATCAGCCCTGCAAATTCTCACCCCTGTCAGCGGGTGCGGCTTGCCAAAGTCAACAGCTTTAAGCTATAGAACCTTACCCACATTACACCATCTAGACACTGTCTGACCATCAGAAAAGTCTTTTTCAGAACTGTTATCTAAATGAAACTTTTCACAGTAACTGCAGAACAAGGAGGTTGTGTACATCAAAATACTGGCTCACTAATGCTTCTTTACAAATTCTTGCTTGGTTTGCCAAAACTGGCTCTAGAAATATATTTAAAGAGCTGTGAACAAACAGTAGCTTGAAAATAAAAATAGAAAAAAAAAAACCCTCAAATATCTGTGCTTTTCTAGTGAGAGAAAAAAAGCAAGTGTTGGCAGTAACCTGTTCATAAATTGTGTGTAACATCAGAAAAATCATTTCACTATAAAATAAGCCACAACCATCAAATAATTCAAATCCTCTCCTTACCTGCCTTCAGGTTAGTAACTCCTTCGCCAACACTTTCCACAATTCCAGCACCTTCATGTCCCAAGATCACTGGAAAACACCCCTCAGGATCGGCTCCACTCAAGGTATAGGCATCGGTGTGGCAAACTGCAGTGGCGAAGATCTACGAGCATATTAAAATATTCCGCATTTAAGTGTGTGCGCATGCAATTCAGAGTGAGGCACAGGTCAGATGAAAGGCATTTTACTTTAATATATTTCATGGATTCTAAAACACATTTCTTTCATATTTTAACCTCTCTAAAATCAGCAGGTGGGGTTGGCGTTGTAGTGTAGCAGGTGAAGCTGCTGCCTGCAATGCTGACAACCCATGTGGGCACAGGTTAGTGCACTGGCTGTTCCTCTTCCCATCCAGATCCCTGATGATGGCCTATGAGGGCAGCAGAGGATGGCCTGGGTGTTTGGGTCCCTGCTATCCAAGTGGGAGACCTGACGGAATCTGCTGGCTGCTGGCTTCGGTATGGCCCAACCCTGGCTGTTTGGCCATCTTAAGAGTAAACCAGTGGATGGGCCGGCGCCGCGGCTCACTAGGCTAATCCTCCGCCTTGCAGCGCTGGCACACCGGGTTCTAGTCCCGGTCGGGGCGCCGGATTCTGTCCCAGTTGCCCCTCTTCCAGGCCAGCTCTCTGCTATGGCCCGGAGTGCAGTGGAGGATGGCCCAAGTGCTTGGGCCCTGCACCCCATGGGAGACCAGGCTAAGTACCTGGCTCCTGCCATCGGATCAACGTGGTGCGCCGGCCGTGCGCTGCGGCCATTGGAGGGTGAACCAACGGCAAAAGGAAGACCTTTCTCTCTGTCTCTCTCTCTCACTGTCCACTCTGCCTGTCAAAAACAAAACAAAACAAAAGAGTAAACCAGTGGATGGAGGATTAGTCTCTCTTTCCCTCTCTGTGTTTCTTTCAAGTAAATAGATAAATCTTTATTAAAAAAAAATCAGCACGTGCTGATAACCCACGGCATCTTAACAATTAGAACTAGCGGCATTATTTTAGGTGCATAAAAGCCATGGTACACTTATGGGCAATGAAATGCAGATTATCTATTCCCCTTTCCAGTGCATATTTGCAAGGCAGGGTGTGCAAGGGATTTTACAGGCACCGTATCTTTAGGCATGGAGAGGTGTCATCATCCGTGCACAAAACAGGCTGTGCCTATCTCACTGCTGGCTTCCTCCTGATTGCTGGGAAATGAGATGGCTGCAAAGGTACTATTTCTGAAACATGCCACTTTACTCGAGTCTGGGTCAAAATCCAGAGCTTGTAGTGGAACCAACTCCCTTTTTAGAAAGCACACATAGGGGGCGGCACTGCAGCACAGTGGGTAAAGCCACTGCCTGCAGTGTCAGCATCCCATATGGGCACCAAGTTGAGTCCTGGCTGCTCCACTTCCAATCCAGCTCTCTGCTGTGGCCCGGGAAGGCAGTGGAGGATGGCCCAAGTGCTTGGGCCCTGCACCCACATGGGAGATGCAGAAGAAAACTCCTGACTTCTGGCTTCAGACAGGCCCACCTCTGGCCGTTGTGGCCATTTGGGGAGTGAACTTGCAGATGGAAGACTTCTCTTTCTGCCTCTGCCTCTCTGTAACTCTGCCTTTCAAATAAATAAATCTTAAAAAAAAAAAAAAAACACATATAATTTTTACTTAAATAAGCCCTTTATCCCTATCTCTCTAGCTATTAAGTACCATTTTTCCCAACCACCAAAAGGCAGAAAGGCAAATCTTGGAGTGTTCATATTTATGCCTCTGCTTCTGGCCTATGTGCCCACTTACAAAGAGACATTCTTTCCCATCTGTCAGCAGTTTCAGAGAAGACAGCTTAACGCACTCCTTTCACTGCTACTCTTCTATCCAGGGCAAACATTATCTTCAGTGGCAAAATCATAACCAGCTTAATTCCTGAATTTGAAGAAAACAATTCGAAGTACTGTAAGATTTCAGATTCCCAGGTCTGGTGGACAAAGGACCTTCAAAAGGTTCTTGGTCCTGGGCTCCTTGACTTCACAGGTATGATCCTGGGGTACATGACTTTGGTATGGTACGTTTGGAAGTCAGATAAAGGGATGTCACAGGAAAAAAAAAAAAAAAGCTGTAACTCTTTTTTCCCCTACAATATTAGTTTTATTTATCAGTTACTACTTTAAAGTGTTAATTTTATATCAAAACAAGTAGGAAGCAGAATGCTGAAAACACGAAGTTTTATAAACATCAAGCTTCCAGGATCTCTCCAGCTGGCTGCTTTGTGCAGTGCGCCTCTCTCCAGGGGCAACTTGCTCTGCCACAGCGGAGAAGCAGCGGAACACAAACTCCCTGGACACTGGTCTCTGCTGCCAGGTCAGCTCATCTGAAAGCTCTCTAAGAAGCCGACTTTACTTGCTTGTTGCTCCAGTCAATCAGCAACCTCTTCCCCAGTCTTATTTGAAGTCCCTACTGACAAAACTGAAAACATTTGTTTCCAACATGTCACCATAATGGTAGAGTCATGGGATCAGCAAAAAGGAGAGCATCCGAAAGTCACCTGAAAATAAAGCTACACAAGGTCAACTGCAGCATCCAGTTATCCACATAGATGGCTACCTAGCACAAGATCAGAACACAAGGCTGGAGACAAGGGTGCATGATTCTAGAGCTGGATAACCTTCAGCGCCATCTCCTTGTCACTCCCCGATGGGACTTATCCTCCACAGACCTCAGATCTACTCTTCTACCCAGAGACCTCATTTTAAGTCTTTTCTTGCAGCGCCTTAGCTGTATCATTACCTTAATTCGAACTTCATGAGCCTTTGGGGGTGCGACCTCTATTTCCTCTATGGAGAGAGGCTTTCCTGCCTCCCAGGCAACTGCAGCCTTGCACTTGATAACCTGAAATGGACAGAAAAAGTGTAAGCTGTTTTTCCTCTTAAACTATGAATTGGTCAATTTAGATACAAGTGAATGTTAATTTTGGAAAGTGTATCACAGATTCACAAAGACACATCTAAATGATAGGAGAACTGTGTTGAGATTTTGTATCAACAGGATACATTTAAAAAGCTTTAACTGAAATGACCACATGATCAAATACAAAAGCCTCTTTTGATTATAATTTTATTCATCAACTATTTAGTGATCCTCTACAATGCATAATTAAAAACAGGTTAAGAATGCAGGTTGATGGAGTGGGTGCTGTCGTGTGGCAGGTTAAGCTGCTGCTTGGGATGCTTGCATCCCATATTGCAGTGCCTGGGATTGAGTCCTACCTCTACTTCTGGTCCAGCTTCCTACTAATGTGCACACATGAGGGCAGCAGTACTTGAAAACTTTGTGTTTTCAACATTTCAGGCCACAAGGGATCCAGACAGGGTTCTTGACATTGGTCTGACTCAGCCCTGGCCGTTGTGGGCATCTGGAGAGGGAACCAGTGGATGAAAGATCTGGCTTTGTCTACTGTATTTCAAATAAATAAAAATTAAGGGGGGCTGGCACTGTGGCGCAGCAGGTTAAAGCCCCAGCCTTCAGCACTGGCAGCCCATATGGATGCCGGTTTAAGTCCCGCTGCTCCACTTCCGATCCAGCTCTCTGCTCTGGCCTAGGAAAGCAGAAGAAGATGGCACAGGTCCTTGGGCCCCTGCACCCACATGGGAGACCCAGAAGAGGCTTCTGGCTCCTGGCTTCAGATCAGCACAGCTTTGGCCGTTGTGGCCATTTGGGGAGTGAACCAGCAGAATGGAAGACCTCTCTCCCTCTCTGGCTCTACTTCTCTCTGTAACTCTGTCTTTCAAATAAATAAATTAATTCTTTTCATATGTGGTTATTGAGCACTTGGAAAACAGTTTGAGCTAGGATATGCTGTAACTGTAAAATATATCTGCATTTTGAAGACTTGGTACAAACACAGGTATGATTATCTCATTAATAACACTTTAAAAATATTAGCTACAAAATAAAATAGTATTTTGAAAAGCTCGATTGGCTTATATAAGTACACCATCAGAGACTACAGTCAGCATGAGGAAGGTTGACAACTGACGTAATGCTTAGGAAATTTGTTAACAGGATCAAGGCTGCAAACAACTAGGTTCACAGGAGACAGACCTAAGAGTCAACAACTGAAAAAGTGTGATTTAAAGAGACAGGCACAAAGTCCTTCAGAGAGGAAAGTGGGAAAAAGAATGCACTCTCCGTGGTGGGTTGGGGAATGCGCCACTTTTAAACTGGATACTGATGAGTGAGGAAAGCATAGCTATAAACGGTAATAAAACATCTAAGGGGGGCTTTTCAGAAAGCTCATGGACAAATGGAAATTAACATATTATGCAAATTGCCATGACTTTTTTTTTTTGAAGCCCCTTCATACACACAGGTGGTTAGGAGGACTGTGTGAAAAGGTTTATGACTAACAGTCCTTGGCACAGTGGCAGCTTTGCCAAGTAAGAAGTTATCAGTAGCAATCAGTAGCAGCAGAACAAAGTGAGGAGGAAAAGGAGAGGTGTACTGTATCCAGAAACAAGGAGTGGCTTGGGTAAATGGGTGAGGCTGGGAGGCACCACTTGAAAAATGAAAATGCAGATATTAAATTGGATAATACAGAGAATCTGGACACAGCATTGCAATCTCTTCATTTCAATGTGCTGAAATCTCAAAATAATATCCCCAAAGTCAAAATCACAACACTGAGCCAATGTGACAACTAAATAAATCAGAATCTAAATCTGATGCCTCACTCCTTTGAAAAATATTTGAAAGCTGCTTACCTTTCCCTTTCCCTTACAAATCTAAGCAAAACAAAGCCCCACTCCAGATCCAAGGCCAACTGCTCTACTTTAACATTTCGATTATCATAGGAATAACTTTTCACCTTCTCAGAATAAAGACATTTTGATAATAAAAAAAAATGCCAACTTATAAAGTTTGAAAGATCGAAGTTCATCATTTCTGTTAAACTCTGAAAAGTTAAGGTCACGTATCTTCTTAGAAAATGTCCAGGCCGGCGCCGTGGCTCAATAGGCTAATCCTCCACCTTGCGGCGCCGGCACACCGGGTTCTAGTCCCGGTCGGGGCGCCGGATTCTGTCCCAGTTGCCCCTCTTCCAGGCCAGCTCTCTGCTATGGCCAGGGAGTGCAGTGGAGGATGGCCCAGGTGCTTGGGCCCTGCACCCCATGGGAGACCAGGAAAAGCACCTGGCTCCTGGCTCCTGCCATCGGATCAGCGAACCAACGGCGCAGGAAGACCTTTCTCTCTCTGTCTCTCACTGTCCACTCTGCCTGTCAAAAAAAAAAAAAAAAAGAAAATGTCCAAAGTTTGCAAAGCACTGGAACAACGGCAGAGTGATTTATTCACATCATTTGTATAACGCTGCCTTGGACGGCGAATGTGCATTTCAGGAACCTGTCGCCCAGGAATCCCGACTCTACCATCCGTGCTGCGACAGCCAAGCACAGCGCTGAAACGCGGTAAACCGCTCGCCGGTTAGGCAAGGGTTAAAGCAGAGTATCAACCGGTCGATAAACTTGTGCTCAAAATGTTACAGGATCCAGGAGTCCTCACAAAACGCACCGCTCGGTGGCACTGGAATTCTGCTCAGCCGCGCTTATGAAGTCAATGACCGGAACGCGAGCAACACCGGGTTCAGATCGTTGGCCTTGTCGCGGCTTTGGCCGCTTGCAAGGACGACTGGTTGGTTGCAAGCCACGGCCGCTCCGACCAGCCCAGGCCCGGCCCCCACGCCCGGTTCTCCCATCCCCCAGCCCGCTCCGCTAGTCCCCGAAGCAGCCAACAAAGTGAGGAGCTGCAACAGAGCCTCCCTCCCTCCCTCCCCGCTGCACCCGGGTAGCGGGATCCCGTCCCGCGCGCAGCCCCGCACGCCCCGGGGCTAGCGGTCAGCGGCCACGTCCTGCTCTCCCTGTCTTCGACCCGGGGCCCAAGACGGGGCGAGAGCTACCTTGTTAGCCATGTCTTCGGGATCGGGTCCGCGCGGGCTCTGGCATCCGGGGACGCTTGAGCGGGGACGAGGAAGTGGGCGGGGCGTGCGGCGGGGGCGGGGCCTGAGGCGACGTCCGCGAGGACGCCAACCCGGAGGGCGGTGCCCGAGGGGTGGCCTCGCCGGGGAGCGGGCCCGGCTGACCCGCGCCTGCTGGTCAGGGCTCCTCACACAGCTTCTGGGACGGGAACGGTGACCCCGTGTAGTTTTGGTCCAGCCTTGGAAAAGAAGGCTTATAAAGAGTGGAGGAAGGCGAGGGAACGGGAGTCTGGCTGGGAGCCCGCGAGACAGAGCGCACCTGTTACAGCGTGGCGTGTGCGCTTGGCGATGCCAGGATGAGTGGCATACAGCCCTTCAAGGGACTCAAACTTGGGGAATAAGGATACAGGCGGGCAGAAGGAGGGCAGTTTGTTCAGCAGACCTCCCAAGCTCGTCTTTCAGCAGCTTCTGAGGGGTACGTTGGATTGGCCGGGCGGGGCTGTAGTACACAGGAGGGAACTTGGCAAAGAACCTTCGAGAGGAGGGCAAAGGCTTAAGACATGGGTCATAGGGTATAGAGAGAGAGGGCGGAGCGTTTGATGTTTTAGAGGAAAACTCTGCTTGCTATGGGTGCTAGATGTTCTTAAAATAGGCTGCTCTGCTTTAAGTCTTTTCATGGTGCTTTTCTAAGTATACTCCATAAGCGTTGGTAATCTCGAAAATTCTGCCCAAACCCTTTCCCACTCCACCTTCTCATCCAAACCGTGGCTTTTGACTTCTTGTTATATGAGAGGGCCTTTTAAACGTCTGTGGGAAAAATGAAATTAAGAGTATTAGTTTTAGAGCAACCTTTTCTTTTTAACTTGGAAAATATTTATTATGAAAAAGACCATGCATTGATTTCAAAATTTTATTTGGGCCAAAATAAGCTCATACTATTATTTCAAATTTTCTGTAAGCTTTTAAAACACGATTTATTTATTTGAAAGGCAGAGTTAGAGAGTGAGAGAGAGAGGAGAGATCTTCCATCTGCTGGTTCACTCCCCAGATGTCTGCAGTAGCCAGGGCCTGGAGCTTCATCCAGGTCTCCCAGGTGAGTGCAGGAGCCCAAGTACTTGGACCATCCTCCACTGCCTTCCCAGTGGCATCAGCAGGGATCTGCATGGGAAGTTCTTGAACCGGCACCCATATAGGATGCCAGCATTTCAGGCGGTGACTTTACCCACTATGGCACAATGCCAGCCCCTCCATGAGCTTTTTGACTACACTCGTATATGAGGATGACACCAGATTAGTATCTGTAATCAGAATGGCTCTCCTAACCTCCATATATGGGCCTACCAGTGAACTTCTTCCCTTGGGATTATCTCAAACTCAATTGTTGGGAAGCTCATCATATGTTTCTCTCCTTAAAGGACTTCTTCCTTCTGTGTGTGTTGAGACCTTACACCTCTTTGCCCAAGCCAGAAATGGGGGAGTCACAACTTCTCCCTCTCCCTTGGTCTCCTTGGTCCCTGCAATCTGTCTTGTCAGCAAGCCCTAAATAGGTCCTCCAGCTTGTCCCCCACCTGCTCCCCACTGCTTCTACCTTAGTTCAGGTTCTAGTCATTTCTTACAGGGTTACTGAAAGAGCCCCCGATCTGATTTCCTTGATGCCAGTTCGGAAATAATGCCCCCATAGTGATCTTTCTGAACCTACATCAATGCCATTTCCTTTCTGCCCCAAAACACTATTGAATGAGGTAGGTTATAAAGAAAGAAACGTTGAGGCTGGTGTTGTGGTACAGTGGGTAAAGCCACGGCCTGCAGTGCTGGCATCCTATATAGGCATCGGTTTGAGTCCTGGCTGCTCCACTTCCCATCCAGCTCCCTGCTAATGCACCTGGGAAAGCAGTGGAGGGTGCCCCAAGTTCTTGGGCCCCTGGACTCACATAAGTGACCTGGAAAAAGCTCCTGGCTCCTGGCTTCAGCCTCGGCCCTTGCAGCCATTGGAGAAGTGAACCAGTGGATGGAAGCCCTCTCTCTCTGTTTCTCTTTAACTCTGCCTTTCAAATAAATCAAATAAATCTTTTTTAAATAAAGAAAGAAATGTCATTATACTATTTAAAGATCTCTGGCCAGCGCCGCGGCTCAGTAGGCTAATCCTCCACCTAGCGGCGCTGGCACACCAGGTTCTAGTCCCAGTTGTGGCGCCAGATTCTGTCCCGGTTGCCCCTCTTCCAGGCCAACTCTCTGCTGTGGCCCGGGAAGGCAGTGGAGGATGGCCCAAGTGCTTGGGCCCTGCACCCCATGGGAGACCAGGAGAAGCACCTGGCTCCTGCCTTCGGATCAGCGCGGTGCGCCGGCCGCGGTGGCCATTGGAGGGTGAACCAACGGCAAAAGGAGGACCTTTCTCTCTGTCTCTCTTTCACTATCCACTCTGCCTGTCAAAAAATAAAAAAATAAATAAAAAATAAAAAAATAAAGATCTCCAAGAGCTAAGATGTATAGAATACCCTGTAGCTAGCCAGTTAGGCCCTGTGTAATCTCCTGCTTACCTCTCCATCTTTATTTCTGCTATTCTCCCACACAAGTCTCGCGACAACCTGACAGAACATTTGTTCCTTGAAAGGGATGTCCAGAAGCAGAAAAGACCATCCTGTCTCCCAGTCCCATGCCTTTTATATGCCAGCACTTCTGCTTGCAATGCAGCAAGCACTTTCTGGCTAGGGAGGGGGGGGTGTTAGTGGGGAGGGGAGGGAGTGAAGAGCATTAAGCTGAGAGCTAATTTTCTTTTCCCTATGGTAAAAAATATTGTCTACTTTCTGTGAAGAGAGACTTGCATTTTTATAGAGACTTCTTTAAGAATAACAGGACTTTTAGAAAGCAACACTCCATCTTACCAAGAAGCTGAACAAACTGCAAAATTAACAGTTTTCCTAGGCCATGAGAGAAGTAAGGTCACAGGGGAAGCCGCTGCCCCACAGTGAGAGACACAGACAGACAGGTACGGAACATCTTGACTTACCAGACTAGAGGCCTGCCCCTTCAAGAACCGTTACTGAGGTAGGGAAACCTGAATTTTAATTCACAAATTTGTTGGAGATGTATCTTGGATTAATCTGAGAGTTATGAATTCCAGGGGAACCAGTCTTAACACTGGGTGAACTTGACTTCCATGAATTCTCACAATGAAGGTCAGAGGCAAATCCCCTGCTGCTCCCATCAGGGGGAGTGGAAAAGTAACTAGTTTGAAGTGTGGCAAAACATTCTGTTCTTTTTTCTTTTCTTTTCTTTTTTTTTTAACTTTTATTTAATGAATATAAATTTCCAAAGTACAGCTTATGGATTACAATGGCTTTCCCCCCCCATAACTTCCCTCCCACCCACAACACTCCCCTCTCCCGCTCCCCTCTCCCCTTCCATTCACATCAAGATTCATTTTCAATTCTCTATATATACAGAAGATCAATTTAGTATACATTAAATAAAGATTTCAACAGTTTGTACCCACACAGAAACACAAAGTGAAAAATACTGTTTGAGTACTAGTTATAGCATTAAATCTCAATGTATAGCACAGAGATCTTACATGAGGAGAAAGTGCACAGTGACTCCCATTGTTGACTTAACAAATTGACACTCTTGTTTATGGCGTCAGTAATCACCCTAGGCTCTTGTCATGAGTTGCCAAGGCTATGGAGGCCTTTTGAGTTCACCGACTCTGATCATATTTAGACAGGGTCATAGTCAATGTCGAAGTTCTCTCCTCTCTTCAGAGAAAGGTACCTCTTTGATGACCTAGAACATTCTGTTCTTAACAAAGCTTGCTTTCAAGAGGAACTATTTAATTGGTGTGGGGAGCAATCCGGACTAGACTAAGTTACTCGAATTAGGACTTATTCTATGCATCTGCTCTCCCACAATATGGCGCTGGGAGAGAAGTAAACAGCTTCCGCACAGCTGCCTCCAGTTCAACCAATTAACTGTAGGACTTGCTCCTGATTGGAGAGCAGCGTACTCGGCGTGTGGGCAGCCGAGTTGGGATTGGCGGAAGAGGACTATAAAGGAGGAGAGAGACGGCATGCACCAGGAACATCTATGGGGAACATCTAGCTGAAGGAACACCTGTGCAGCCCCCGAGAAGAGCCGGCGGTGTGCCGCTCCCCTGCGGAAGTGGGGAATGTGGCCAGGGGGAACTGCCCTTCCACGGAGGTGGAAGGGATAGTAGCCAACCCGGGAAGAACCAGCAGCAAACCCGGGGAGGGCCGAGCAGACGAAAGAACAGCGCAGGGTCCTGTGTCGTTCCTCCACGAAGAGGGGGAGCGACATAATGGTGCCGTGACTCGGATATGAAGCCTAGGCAGGGTTTAGTGTTGTTCCTCCACGAAGAGGGGGAGCGACAATTGGTAACTCTCTTCCTGTGGTTTGTACCAGAGCTTAACCAGTCCAAGAGAAAGGCTCTACCTAATCCGAACATCCTATAGCCATCCTTTACCACCTAAAGGAGTTGGGGGTGGGGGGATAGAGAGAAAAAAAGAAAGAACTGAGAATCGTGGAGTTCAAAGCCCAGTGGCACAGGTTCAAAGTTCTCCCTGAAATCAAACCATGTAACTATAGAATTCTTCCCTTTCCCCTATACCTTAGCAGTACGTCACTAAAGACCTGTTTACTGTAGTTCCTTTTATCAGCATATCATGTTTGGCTCTCAGTAAAGAAGTATAAGGCACACTAAAAGGCAAAACCACAGTTTGAATGGACAGACCATGTATCAGAACCAGACTCAACATTTGGCAGAGATGTTGGAATTATCAGACCATAAATTTCAAACAACTATGATTAATGTGCTAAGGAATTTAATGGAAAAAGTACACAGCATGAAAACACAGATGGATAATATAAAAACATTCTGCTCAGTGGAAGTTAGTGTCAACAGAAAGGAAGATAAGCTGCAGACTGGGAAAATATTGCAAAAGACATTTCTTCCTCCCTCCCTCCCTCCTCCCCTCCCTTCTTCCTTCCTCCCTTTCC